AAGGGAAACACATTCGCAGCGGAAACGGAAGCGAAAAAGGGAGAAATGCGTCAGGCGAGGAATTCCCTACATGTGTTCCATCTGCTGATGTTTGCTTAATGAATTGAATCTTCTATTTATTTACTATATTTTTATTTCAACATTATTATTTTTTACCACAAAAGGAAATGCGCACAGACGGACAGCGAAAAAACAAACAAATGAAACAATTAAAATTAAATACACCCTTGGGAGCTGAAGAAAAAAAACCTTATCGGAGGAGAGGAAAGAGTACAGAAGCTAACTCAACTTTAGAATGCCCTATGAAAATTAATTTAAAACCAATAAATTTATATAAATAATATTTAACAGACAAGAATTTGATGTAGACACCTTAATATTAAATTTAGAACTAATTAAAAAAATTCACCTTTGAAACTGAAAATGCCAGAGAAAATTATACAAGAGATTGGGCGGAAATCATAAATTATTTGGCCGTAAATAAACTTATCTTTTGTGGGCAGCCAAAACCAGACTTTTAATGGTCAAAAGATTGAAATATTCCCCTTTTTTATGGTTTTGGGACACAATAAATTAAGATTTCGCAGCAATTTGTTTACCTTTTCCTTGATCCGATTTGCCTACACAGAAACGTTTACGCTTCCAAATCATTCAATTCATCATGGGGACAAAACACAATAGAACTTTTGTACCGAAAAACCAAATCATCATCAGTTTTATCCAGCAACCCATACATTCCCGGCTAAAATACCATTTCATAACCTCAAACAAAAAATGCGGGAATTATAAAAAACCAAAAGTGGGGGATAAAAAAAAAAAACGAGACAAGATTGGACAATTGCATTCGCTTTCGGTGGAGATCCTGCGGTCGCACGCATAAATCTGTTGCTGTTTTTGATTTCACTCGCCGCGGATAATGAAATTAATCGTCTGTAATGGTTTATTGTGTGCGGCGATTGCGGAGTTTGGTTTTGGCCAGGCCAAAACGACCCCGATCGAGCCAGCCAACCAAAAATGACCGACGGCCAGATACAAATTCTGTTTGATTTCGGTTTTTTTTTTCAGCGCCCCAAAATATATTGAATTGCCATTGAATGTCGCGTTGCCATAAATAAGTCGGACTAATGGGGCGCGGTCCATGCAATTTTTGTGATTTAGTGGGGGCTTTCGGTTCGAAGGCGGGATCGAAGGACCCTCGTCGCCAAGTCGTACATCAATGGATTACTTTAAAATGTCGAATCGACTGTCACGCTTCTAAACTAATAACATCAGAATAATCAACATAAATCCATAAAAGAAAATCCTATTAATCCGCCCCGAGAGACAAGGACATTTTTGATGTTTCCCCGTCGAAGTGTTGTCGCCCACAGAAAGGAATATCCTTACAGGACACACGCCACACGTCGAGCCCCTTTGTCTACTGTCTGATGGCTTATAAGCTTCATTCGCTGCCGCACACTTCAAATTCAAATTACTACACATTATAGAATATCCTGCAGGCTCTCAGCACACCACACGTACTGCCCGATGAGAGGACGAGTTGCAGGAGATGGCTGGCAGGACATGTTGGCACAATACGCCATAACAACGTGGCTGCAGGGCAAAAATGACATTGTAGTAGAAGAAGGACGAGGTGGTTCTTTCCGCCTGGACTTCAGTTTTTCAACCGTATCGACACTTTCATCTCATCTTGGTAGTTGATTAGGAAGACATCATTTAAGTTTAAATGCACATATTCTAGGTGGGTGTACACTGAGTTATAAAAGTTTAGGCCACTCCTTATGCAAATCCAAAAAGGTATGAGTTTTATTTTAGGAAACAACTTTAGACAATTAAAAATGTTCATTTTAATTTTGAACTTTTTTCTTCTTTTACACTTTTTTCAGACAATTATTTACTTTTTGATTTTATTAAGCTTAAAGAAAAGTGCCTACGAAGTATACAAAACTTCTTTTTCAATCTCTGTAGCTTCGAAAACACACATTTTTGTAAGCCTTGCCATTGTTTTATCCTACCATGCCTTTGTGCTCATGAAAGTTGTAAGAAATTACTTTTTATTTTTAGAGTTTTTGCAATAAGAGCACCACGTAGCATAACTTGCGCACACAACTGTACTTTCACACACAATTTCAAGTTATAATCAGTGCTCATTATTATACCAGACACGTTTTCAGATTTCGCGTGATTATGCGCCGCGGCTTGGCAACATCTTCGCAGTTTTTGGGGCAAACACGCAGGCGGACAAGGAAGCGAAGTCAAGGAATTAAACTTGAAAATAGCTTAAGAGATACATTCTGTCTATCCAGCAGATAGACGAGCATGTTGCCTAGGTCCTGGCCGAGCTGGATTTTCTCGTGGCTCAGGCCATAATGCTTATTGTTGTCATTTGCTCAGCAGGCTAAGGGGTGATGGGTGGTGGTGGGTTATGGTTGGTGGGGGACGAAAAGTTGGCGAAAAATATGCAAATTATAATGAAAAACTTGACACTTTACATGCAAAGCAACAGCAAGAACAGAACGAGTGGGTGGCGGGGTCGGTCGGTCGGTCGGTCGGTCGGGATTTTCCGGAATAGTCCTCGGCCTCCGCCAAGCCGATTCAAATCTGTGGCGGGCGATTAAGCGGGCCAAATGAAGCGCTCGCACTGCCTGCGCATTTTAATTAAGCAAGCAGCCAAATAGTATACTACATAGTGGCTCCTTGTTTTTGCCCGTCGCCGGTTGTTCGTTGTTGGTTGTCGCCTCCGTGTGAAAAGTGGCACAAAAGCCACCACCACCCAATTTCCAGCAACGCCCTCATCAGCATTCGAGATCCCGAATTCCTGTAGCATTTGCATAAAGTTTTACTGCAGCTGCAGTTTGGTTTCGCCGGGTTTTTGATTTCACCCACAAAAGTCAACGAATTTCTTCAGAAGTTATCAGAACTCGAGGTGTCAGGCAAATTATCTGGCTTTAAATAAAGGAACTTGGATGCGGTGCAAAATAGATTGCAACTTTATTTTAAATATGAATATGGATATGCAAAAGATTTTGTCTGAGAAACGGTGCAGAATATATTTGCATACATTTACTATTAGTAAGGCTAGATCGAATATTTGTAAAGTTATTGTTAAATGTAATTTATTCTATATTGTGGTGTTCCTCGCATTTGGTGAATTTTAAATAACTGCTCGACAAAACTGTTTTTGAAGCATTAAATAAATACAAATTAAAATGGTCGATTTATTGATTGGGTATAATAAACATAACTTTTTATTCTGTTAGTTTTTAGTTTGAACAATAAACATTTTTTATTTATTTTAACTCGAATATTTAACATATAATATTTAGAAGCTATTAGCTGGTGCTGGCTTTGTTTTAAAACTATAATGATACTCATTTATTAATAGTTCAAGGAACTACTTTATTGGTTGATAAAACAAAATATGAAATACTTTGCAAACTTTATCTATAGTTTTGCTATTATTATGAACTTTGAAAATATCCATTGCGTAAGCCAATTTTAACCAAAAGAATTTTACTCCACTCCGATTCTGGAGAACGCACTAACCCCAATTTAGCCCCACTAACAATCAACTTTAACAGCTCTTTTAACTCCAAACCTCGAAAAACTTTCTACGATTTCTTTCGCACACACTGAAAACACACAGAGGGCCATAGAAATTATGGCGGAAAATTACCTTAACGAAAGGGCTTCCGCAGCACTACGACTTTGGAGTTCGGCTGTAACCTTTGCGACCCAACTGTACCCGCTTGTAAGCCACTTGTAGTGGCATTGCCAGTCTGGCCCGAAAACAAAAGCAATTAGATGTCGCCAACTGGCTGACTGGGATTGTGGATGTGGATGTGGATGAGGATGAGGACGAGGACGAGGATGTGCCGCAGGAAGTTGGATCGAGTGGGTTAAGTGCCCGGGGGTTGGGCTAAATGTAATTGCGAGTGTGTGTGCGCAGAGACCTAGTAAAAGTAAAAAGTTTGCCAACGCGATTTTCTTTGGTGAAACTATAAATTTACAAGCCACAATCAGGGGCGCCTCTGCTATGTGCGTGGGCTGGCTTGAGAGTGTATTAAAAAGCGTTCAGGTGAACCATCTACGTGTTACCTGTCCTTTTCCAGGACCTGACAATTTTCAGCACTTGAGCGTTTATTTCACCGACTCTCCTGCTCCAGTTGTTGTTGATTTTTATTGCCATCGTTGCCGTTGTTCAGCGTTAGTTTTAAAAACTTTACCGCCGCCCTGGGGTCCATTGTGGGGTGGATGATTGTCGAGGGTTAACATTCGGGTTGTTGGGGCATTTATCTCCGCCATTTGGTCCCCTCAAATCCTGAATGGATTTTAAGTGGAATAAGTTTAATGATCGAAATTATTCAACGTGTGCTTTGTGTTTTGGCTTTTGTGCCTGGTTTATGGCTGGCTTAAAGTGGGATAGTCGCATGTTTATGACAGGCCCGGTTTTTGGGGGCGTGGTTAAATAAACATATTTGGCTTGCCGCTTTCAAGTGTAGCCTAAGTTTGCCCAGCTCTAAGCCTTATAATTTATTTGGATAACAAATAGCGATTTGTTGTTGTCAAAACACTGCTGCTTATTAAAAACAAGAGCAAATCATGTTATTATTATTAAAAATTCATATAAAGCCATTTCGAAACTGACTAGAAATTTTGTTCTAATTATTATTTCATAAAAAAAACTTAAATATTTGATGTTATTCAAAATCACTAGTAAATAATTGGCATATCAAACAAAATCATTAGTAGAGGGCTTTATTTTGTATATTTAATTTGGATTTATACACTCAACCAAAATAATATTTTTTCTAAATAATGACCAAAAATAATTCGTATAATAATTGAAATCTGTGTCAGAGTATTTATTAGGCATAAACTATTTTTTTTCAAAGTAAATAAATATTATTAAAAATAATTTTTTATGAAACAGTATTTTTTTTTATTATCACTTTGCCCGTCAGAAAATACAAAAATTCAACTTACTTTCAGAATGTCATTTTAATTTCAAAATATCTGGATAACTTAATTCATATTTAACAAAAGATAGTAATGTAATTAAACAAAAAATGATTCGGGGTTCAAGAATACCTCTTCGTCGCTTGGCACACCCAAATTTATGGAGTTTAAGGATCAGCAAGGATTTTTCGAGGGATGGTAAGGAGATCGAGGAGCAAAATGCTTTAAAACGATTGGGAACCAGTCCTCGGAATATTCGCGATCACCCCATAGGATGTACACCGAAAAGTTTGAATACGTCGGCCTTCATTTCCCCGGATTTCATTCCTCCATCTACCTACCGCATTGTGGAAAACGAGGAGCAACTGGGGCCAAAGGCTGGCAAAAAGGAGACCTACAAGAATCCGGAGTACTACAGCTATTATCGTTACTCGTACTACGATCTTAAAACAATTGTGGACACCATTAAAAAGAAACAATCATCCAAAAACTAAGAATAAGCAACATAGATTACAAATGGTTATATTATTCTTTTTTACAAAACTTTCACAAAACAAAATTTTGAGAATTATATAAATCATGGGAAAATCAAAAATCTTGTTGGAAAATTCTGAAGCACACTTGTTTTATTTTAAGTTTATTATGGATTTTATAAAACAAATTATTGCAAAATTAGTTCTTTCAAAGAAAAAAGGTTTTGAAACAATGAATTACGTAATATAATAATTAAAAGATAATAATTTACAACAGTAATTAGTTCTGGAAAAGGCTCGTAATAAATTTTCAAGAAGTAATATTATTATTATAAATAACAGAAGAGGACCAAAAAATAAAGAAATATTAATGGTTTTGAATGGCGACATTTTGCTCAGTGTGAGAGCTCCTTCGCTCAATGACATTCCGCCTTATGACAGTAATCGTATTAGTTGGCTGGTCGTTAGTTAGGCGGGCTATCTGCCCCAAATGCGATTTCCGCACAATGAGCTCCTCTTCGTGTCCGTCGTGCAGTTCGGCTCGTTTCCGGATTACGTGCGGCATTTTTCGTACAGGTGACATAATGATCCGGACTCGCCAGCGCCTCGCAGCCGTAATTAGAGGGGAGCGCGGGGGGGCGTCGACTTATGGGCGTTGGACAAAAGATGTGAGATCCTGGATGCTGCGTTGCCAACAGGGGACTTTGTAATTTAGCAAATCGGTTTAGCAAGTCATTGGGAATAAGCAAGTGGAGTGGCGTGGGGAAATGGAGCTCTCGCGACAACATGCCCTATTAAATTTACAGCCATTAGCCTCTTACTTACACTTGTAGGTGTCGCAGCCACGTGTCACTAAGATTCGCGGATCCTGGTACACCAAACACATAAAGACATAAACTTTAAGAAGCATCACCTAAAAATTGAGGCTAGCCCATTATAATTTAAAAAGGCCTAAAAAAGAGCTTTAACAATAAATTCTTTAGTTAATATTTTGAATAAGTTTATGATTTTCCCAAATTTATAGATATTTTTAGTTTTTGGGTATAGTTCTCCCAAACTAGTAATACCAAATGCCTCTACTTAGTTGTCACATGTGAAAAGGTGAAAACTAAATCTTTATAATCGGCATAGTTAAGAATATATCCCCCAGGTATTAAGCTAAATCTATATTAAGCATTAATTGCTTTCAAACTCTTATTTCTGCTAGAATATAAAATATTTATAATATCGTTGCATCTTATTAAACCTTGAGGTTGAGTATTATTAATTATTTTTTTCTGACTTTTAAATACCGAACAATAATGATCAAAAGTAATATAATTGGGAGCTCTTTTGCACTATTTTTAATATAAAAAGTGATATGATTATTTCTCTGAGTGGGACTTTTAATTGAATCCCATTGTCGGATGGTGGAGTGTGTTTGTGTGGGACATTCGAGCGAACCATGCCCATTCCCATTCCCATTCACACATCCTCGTTGGCAATTTATCAATTTTAATCGCATGCAAATTTTATGCAGGCCCGCCATAAGACCCAAGTGACATTTGCTTTCGTTAAAGCTGGGCAAACATTTCCCAAGAAAAGAAAAGGGAGGGGAATGTGAGGGTTTGGCTGTTCAGTTTTGTTAACAACTTTGGGCCATTCGCAAGGCTGCTCTAACGGCTTCTGCTAATCACATGGCACTCTTTATGATTGCGACCTTCCCCTCCAACTTAACCATCTTGCGTAACATTTGCATTTTGGCAACATAATTTTTGCTGTATTGTTGTGGGTAAGCCTGAAACATGACCAAATCAAAACATTTGCATAATTAATGAATGGGGAATGTTTGTAGTGCCGGGATGGAGGTTAATAGTTGGAAGAAATTATCAGAAAGTTTAGGCTATATACCATATAAATAAATTACTTGCAGTTACTGCGAAATTATAGTTTTTTTTTTCTGGTACAAATATTGGTATGTTAAAGCTTTTTAAACTTTAAAAAATTACATTTAATTATAGTCTTAATATACTCTGTTTTAAGTACCAGTGTTAAGTATTAATTTATTAATGCTTAAAAACTGTATTAATAAAATGTATTATTTATAAATGTTTTATTCAAGATGTTAATTTATATTTTAAGCTATACCCTAATCACAGTCAGTGTAATTTTATTGGTAGAGGATCAATTTTCTTAAAATTAATTTTTTTAAAAGCACAAATCTTTTGTTTATTTGTAGGTAGGCTAATAAAATCTATTTTAGTTCCCTAGTAGTTAAGGTATTAATATTATAGTTCTTTTAATTAAATCCCTGTTTTCCAGCAGTAATCCGTTCAAAACCTTTTCCGTCAAGTAGTTGCGATTCTGACGCGACATTTTTTCCGCATGTCTGAAAATGCTTGGCCTGAAAATGTATGACTAACGCTAATTTCCGTCTTGTGATTGATACTAGCCCCCGGGCCAATGACGCACGTCATCCATCATGGGAGACAATGGCATCCAGGGGGGAAATAGGTGAAAGGAAACGCTGGGAAATGCGCTTATCATGTAACGGTTAACGGTGAATTGACTGGAAAAGTTCAAAGGTTTCGCCAGTGATTTGATGGATGCGATGGCAAGTGGCCCAAGTGCAAGTTAAAGCCAACGGATCGGGTGCTATATACACACCTACCAACCACCAGCTTTATTTACCAATTTACACTGGCGAACAAAGTTGGCGGGGCACGTAGTGCGATGGCAGCTGGTTTGCTTAGCCGGAAAAGTTGGCCAAACAAACACAAGCCAACACGTAAAAACTAAATTGCAAATAAATTTTAATTGTTTTGAGCAATTAAAAATTAAATTTAAAAAATAGTGCAAGGAGGGAGCCAAGCGCCCGAAAATATATATGCCGCACCCAAATTTCCGTGCTTATTCAATTTGGGAAAATGTTTGGCAACTACGTGAGTGTGCGAGTACTTGTGCGACTCAGTGTCCAATGGCTGCTGCCGTTGCTCCTGCTAAACAAATTAAATTAGACAACTTTTATTCATTCGTTTGACATTTTTATTTGTTTTCAAACTCATTTTGCGAGAGCAAAGGCTGTGGGCTGGACTTTTGCACGATGGGGCTGGACAGTTGAACAATTAACAACAAATACAATTTGCAGAGTTTAGTTAAAAATTTTACCAACTGCTCCCGTTTAATTGTTCTATTTTCCCCGGCGACCCGTCTCGATTGTGTGAATTTAATTAAATGCCATTTGCATAAATTCGTCATCCTCGTTTCGAATGTCAAAGGAATACTGAATTATATACAATTTATGGCACTTTCTTTGTTTGCCAAGTGTAAAAACAAAAGAGAAAAGGTGGGAAAAGCGAGATAACAACGCTTATCGATTGTTGATTGCAATCAAGGCACTCGGAAGTGCTAAAAAATTGATAATGTAAAGAAAAACGAATACAAAAGCTATAGAAATTGAGGTTGACTCAAAACAATTATCATTTACAACTGTTATTAATGAAAATGAAAACAAAGTAACTCTTAATAAGAATAAAGTTGTTTTTAAAATTTTATTGCTATAAAGTTACTGAACAAAAACCATTAAATTTTTAGCTTTATATTTGCACCTATTTTTATATAAATTATTTTTAAAAGTTAACTAAGTTATCTATTATAATTAATTTGTTTTTAATGACCTATCCAAATTGTAATATATCAACTCTATTAAAGATATATTATTTTTTATTAGTTAATGAAGTTATTAACATGTCAATGACAAGTGTCTGTAAACTGATTGATAAGACACAATTGTTCTCCAACGATCGATCGATTTTATTGCCTTTGAACCATTATCAGTTTGTCTCTCTCAGTGGCAACAGCGTGTCTCCCCCATAAATATAAAGAAATATATTCTCCGAAAATACACAATCTTATCGGCAATGCCACTGAAGTTCCACCGATTGTGGCTGCCGTTGCTCCTGTTCGTTTGTCATCTGCTGGCTGATGGTGTGTATATTTATACCCGTTACTCGTAGAGTAAAAGGGTATATTGTATTCGTGCAAAAGTATGTAACAGCTAGAAGGAAGCGTTTCCGACCCTATAAAGTATATATATTCTTGATCAGGGTCACTAGCCGAGTCGATATAGCCATGTCCGTCTGTCCGTCTGTCCGTCTGTCCGTCTGTCCGTCTGTCTGTCCGTCTGTCTGTCTGTCTGTCCGTATGAACGCTGAGATCTCGGAAACTATAAAAGCTAGAAGATTGGCATTTTGCATGCAGATTCTAGGAGTTCCTACGCAGCGCAAGTTTATTTCAAATTGGTGCCACGCCCCCTTTAACGCCCACAATCACTTATATACGATTTTAAAAATTTAAATATTTCGGAAAAGTAAAAATGCAGTTTTATTGTGTTTATCAATACCTATCGAAATGTAGAAGAAATTTTTCAAATCGGACCATTCGTTAAAAAGTTATGCGTGATCAAAGTTTCTATCTCCATCTCCCTCGCACTCCCTTTACCTGAGTAACGGGTATCTGATAGTCGGGGCACCCGACTATAGCGTTCTCTCTTGTTTTTTAATTTTTTAATTCGGATACCATGATTTAAATTCTTCTGTGACTACAGTTCCGCAGTGCTTTCACTTTACTTGGGTTGGTGCCTACGAGAATCACTCGAATATAATCGCGGAAACCTGTAACTCCAGAGTCGGCGACTTCAATGACATACCCTGCGAAGAACCATTGGTGGTGACACGTATGTTATTCAATTTTACTATTGAACAAAAGCCAAACTTATGAAATTTATACAAAATGAAAAACTAATTTTTTAAAATTTTATCCATTTCCAGACCGGTTTTGTAATATCAAATTAAGAAATAAATCTTAGAACAAGATTACTATGCTTGCAATACAAAACCTTTTTCACATATCTCACAACACTTAGATATAGTACTAAATTATTTTATCTTTATTTGTATAATTTTAAATACAAAATGTAAACTTTAAAAATCCCCTTATAGCCGACGACACAGTGCCGGATGTGAAGGCTTTGTGGCAAAATGCCACGGAAGACCGCGAGAACTTTCTGTGCCAAATGTCGCCCGGTCGCTCGTGCGTGAAGTACTCCTACATATTCAAAGGCGGAAGTGAGTGTACCGCCTCTAATAAAGTGAAGCCCTATCTGTATAATAAACATAATATTTCAGTACAAAACATCACGTACATGTGCGCCAATGTGAACAACAGCAACGGGTGCTATCGACAGACCCATGCCACGGGAATGGTGGTGGAGGCCTGTGTCTGCACCTCCCAAGTGGGCCTGATACCCTGTAATGGCGGCTCGAACTCCCAAATCAGTGGTGCAACGGGCTTGGCTCTTTGTTTGCTCGGACTTTATCAATGGCTAAATAAATAGCGAATACTTTGAACGGCAAATACTTTTCCCTTTGTGTAAATGTGACATTTCCGGGCTTTTGATTTTGACAAGTTTTTGCACAATTTATGTGCACTCTTTGTAGGCCATACATTTTCGGTTCGGTTTTTTAATGGCATTTTTTTACACCGCACGATGTGGCCAAATAAACTGCCATAATTTATTTGCCCGGCCATTAATCAATTGCAAGTTGATGATGACAATGAGGTTGACTGTCCGCTGGGCAATTTGCATTTCAGTATAGGAGTTTTGTTAAATAAATAAACGAACTTCTGTACATAAATCAAGAAAAAAAAGGTTTTTTTACAAAAATGTATTCTGCTGGCACTAAATTTTGTTTTTGTTTTTTTTTGGGTTGTTGAAGCTCACCTAATTTGAAAATATGAAGTGCATTAAGCTTGCATTCATAATCCCCTTAAAAGATAAGGTTTGGCAAATCCTATCAAGTTGTTTAACATTAAATTTTCCCCTTAATAATTACTTTAAATAAATAACAAACAGCCAGACAGGGGGGATGGGGGGAGGGAGTCGGTAAACAATGCAGGCGATAAACGGAAAACCAGAAACACAACTGCTGATGGGACACACTGCGTATGAGAAATGCAGCGAACAACCAGTGGGCAAATGGGAAATGCGAAATGGGAAATGGGAAATGGGCGGAGGCTATAGAGCGGGCGGAAGGCTGTTCCGATTGGGAATGCCCAGTGGCACAACCAGGCTCAAATAAACTAATTTTAATGCCTTCCATTGTGGCCAGAGCACGCAGTGCGGCTCAATTGGGATGCGAATGGCATCGCCAGATTGGCAATGTGGAACGGGGTAGGTCAGCAGAGCTGGTTTCATCTCTCGATATGCACAAGATATTCGTATATTTATTTTTTCAGCCCCTCTACAGCGTTGTCAAAATTATTAGAAATTTGTGCGAGCGTTTCCATTTCAAAAAAATAAATTCCAAAATAATATAAGATAGATAAAATCGAAAAGGCCATTCCATTTTTATTTTTTAATAAATTTAATTAGAATATTCGATTATATAGAAATTTTTTTATACAAATTTGAGTTAAATTATTAATTAAGTAATTAAGTGGCTTGGGGCTTTAAAATTTTTAAGTTTCCAATTTATTTAATTGTTCTTAAATAACTGATAAAACATTATTTTTTTTTATTACTTATTTATTATTTGATATAATAAAAGCAATATATATTTTATCCATCTTATCCAATACTATTATTTTGGGCACCATTGTACATTGGCAATGCCAAATATAAATGTAAAAAAATGCGAAAATTTCAACATCCATTTGTAAATTATGCCTTTATGCGTGTGTATATTAACACTTGAATGGCAGAAAAATATATTTTATTTATTTTTTTCCCAATTATGTTTGACAATTTTCATTGAAATGCATTGCTTGAAAAATCAGTTTCAGAAGCAGATTTCACTCTTCCAAAGAGAAAGTACAAAAGCATTTGTAAAATCCTTTAATATAAATTTCAGGAGATTAAAAAAATAATATAATTCAGGAGAAAAAGATTTTGGGAATGCTATAATATCACAATTTTCACAATAAACCAAAATGATAAAAATGCAATTGAGCCATGGAGAAATATATATAGATTGGGCAAAAAATTGGCTGTATAGATATTCGCTGGAGTGTTAACCCCCTCTTGCACTTTAATTTGGCAGTTTTATTTATAACTAAAGGCCAATATAAAGCAACATTTCAAGGTACGCGACATTTTTGTAAATGGAAAATCTGAAACAAATAAAATTGATTAAGAGAAGCAGAAAAGAATAATAATAAATAATTGGAATCGGTTTTTATTATATTATATTTATTTCCCATAACTATTATATTTGCTATATTAACTAAAATCAGATTAGCGTTAAAATTAATTAATACATATTCTGATAATTTTATACCATTTATATTATATATGTACATAATTTTTGCTTACTATTATAATTTACCTATTTAATAAATATTATAAAATACAGTTTAAATCATTTGATTATTAACATAAAGCGTTCGAAAATAATTTGTAACATATTAAAACCACTTAAATTGCTTAAGTTTCTAAAGAAAATGTTTATTAATTAAATTCAAATTCATCGAAAACACTTTCAGCTAAGAAACGCACTGTATTATCTATAGCAAATATATTCGATTTATGCATGTATGCATTAGGCGAATCAACCGATTGCCAGCCATCCAAGGCTTATCTTCCAGTGGGCTGAAGAGGGGCAGTGTTAAAAATAAATAAATAAACATAATTTGTGCTGTTGCCGTTTATTGGGTGGCAGCAGGACTCCTAATATTATGGTAATGATTGGGTAATGATTGGGAAATTGATTAGTTTGTGATATGATTTGTCTGCTGTCTAGTCTTTTGAATAATGGTTAAAAGACTTAAGATTATTTAAAACCAAGCAATATCAGGCTCTTTTTAAAGGTCTGGACCTTTAAAATAACGATTGAAATAAATTAATCTTAGTTTAATTTGTGTTCGCAAGAAGTCAAAGCGAATCATTAAAAATAAATATTAATTAAAGAAAACCCATGAATAATATTTGCTCTCCTTAGCTTAAACATTTTTTCAAGAGCAACTTTGATTTAAGAATATTTTGTATAACAAGCAATTGGTATCAATCTTGTTTAATACCTTCGCAGCTGAATTTTGAAAAATGTTCTATTCGATTTTAGGTTTGAATCCTAGAATTTGGTATATTTTTTCTGTGCACACTCATTCATATTCACCACACACGCTCAATTATTCAATGGCAATTTTTTGCAGTTGCAATTGCAATTTGCAAATGAACCGGATTCGGGCCGCTGCCGCTGCGCTGTGTATTTATTGTGAGTATTTTGAGGGACAAAAACAACTGAGCAAGAACGAGCCAAGGAAACCGCAAAAACCGCAACGAATTTAGCACGATGCTTGACCAGAAAAAGCGGTGGATTCTGCGAGGGGGACGGATGGGCTAGATCGACTGCAAATGAATTCAACGCCGGACGGGCAAGTCAAGCGTGACAGGTCGGGGGTCGCGAAAATAAAGGGGGGTGGATGGGGTTTCGAAAACGGTGGCACAGTGGCCAAAAGAATGCGATAAAAGCGAAGGCGCATACAAATATCAAGTATACGCAGCGCGGCACATGACATTTCTTTGGTTATTTATACTATGTGGCATCGAATCGAAATGCAAATGAAATCCACCGCAGAGCAGGTCCTGCCGTTAATTGGCAATTTATAGCAGATACCATACCGCTGCCACGCCCCCCGCCTCCGGTCTAAGTCCCCATTTTCACGTGCTCGCTCAAGTGAAAATTATCATTTCCAGCGAAACTAAATCTCCACCGCCCCGCCAAAAAGGCAATGCTAGAAAAATGTACAGACACCCGCAGAAAAAAAAAGGTAAAAGGAACGGAAGCGAAGTGAAGAACTGAGGGAATGAAAAGCCGCACAAAGCCGGGAAAAGTTTAGACGGGGACAAACCGTCCGAGCCGACCGCAAAAGGCAACAGCCATCCCAACCTCTACCCCTTAAATCGAGCGGAGCGATATCCAAAGAAAAGAATATATATACGAGAAACGGGTTAGTTCATTAAACAGAAGCAACGATGCCCTAATGTTTAGAATTAGTTTCTTGATGTAAAAACATTTCTACATACAAACAATACCTTATTACCCTTTAACTTGTGTGTCTCAATATATTGATTTTGATCATTGACATGAAATACTTACACATCACATATTAATTTTAAATGAACCTACCTTAATAATTATTTATATTTATAAAATAAAAGAAAATGAATTGAAAAAAATTATACAAATATAGGCATTTTGTTTTGTTACTCGCAATTGTATAAACTTTATTTTAACAATTAAATATGTAAAAATCAAGAAATAGAAGTAAGTTTAGTAACAATTGAAAAAGGAATAACAGTCAGTTTTAGACATTCATAAAAGGAATTCAATTGTAATTCTTTTTGAAAAAAAAGGGTCTTATCTTAAAATGAAAACTGTTCCTTTTGACTAACATTTAAATTAATAAAACCTAAGGACTCTTTCTAAAAAGGGTACAAACATGAACCCAACCAGCAATTTATCGCATTTTGCTGTGGTCGGCATTAGTTACGCTGAATTTTATCACAATTGCAATTCTTTCTAGTCGAGGACACCCCCGAAACACCAGCCGCCAAAAAGGATTTCATTTTCATTTATTTTTTGCGTTCCTTTTGGTGTTGGGCTGCAGCCAAACCAGGCCGATGGGATTTGGTATGGAAGACCAAACCCACCGCTGCCTTGGCAACTGTCCGAATCTCAAAATGCCCAACGCTAATTTCCACGTTCTGCCTTTAAATAATCATAATTTGGGCTTTTGTGGCTGGTGTTGCGGCGACTGATGCTGTAAATGATTAACGCTGCTGGCGGATTTGCGAGGGTTAATGGTCGGTAGAGACTCTTTAAAGTGCCCTCGGTCGACTTGCATATTTTCAAGCCTGATTGCTCATTAGCAAATTCATTTGGCTGCACTCCAACCCAAAGGGGAAGTCCCAGAGTTATCAGTTGGAAGGCATTAAGTCGCGAGGGCAAATGTTTATCACTCAACGAGAAGTCGAATGGGGAAGTTCTCTATGCTATGGAGAAGGGTCGTTATTACTTTATGTTAATAAAATGTAAGCTGAAGATTAAGGTTGTAATTTATGATTTAATATTTAACATTTCCACTTTAAAATTTAAAGTTTAAAGTTTGTAAATGGAGAATATTTGTGAGGTTTCATATTTTTGAACTTTATACGCTTAAGTAAAAAATAATATAATGGCACATAAATTATTTTACTCCTGAGTTTATTATTTTTTATTCAGAAAAGAAAACTATTCAAAGTCTTAGTTCTGTTCGACATACAAAAAACAAATGAATACTTTACTCTTAAATAACATTTTATCGTACATTCTTCAAATCAAACCTTGTAAAACCAAACACCTTCTTATGGCAAAAAAAAAGGTATTCTATGAGGGCTTAAGTTGTATTTCTTTAATATGAGTCTATGGTGATAGTATTTCTTACCCCAAAAATAAATCCACTGAAGCACCAAACACACCATACCCCTTACAGAGTATTGCCAAAATTGGAAAATGCAAAAATTCTTCAAAATTATCATTTTGCAGAGCCTAATGACTTGTGCAAAATGTCGCCGTATTAAGATACTCGCACTCCCTGGCATTCCAACTGGCGAGGGTCCTTCAAGGAGCATCCTCGCTTATCAGCCCCTCCTCTGAAATCGGGGATGGGACCAAAAATGCTGGCTTAATTATCAAAAATTCGAGCCAGAGAACTATGCAAAGGGAACCCAAAGAATGAGGCGGTGTGGAGGAGGGAGTGAGCCGGATAGTTGATGAGCTGAGGGATGAGCATTAACCCAGTTAACCCATTAAAGCCGTGTCATAAATTCAAAGCCACAACAGGCCGGCAGCAACAACAAGAGGCGGCTTTTGCTTTGTGGCCTTTTGTGGACCAGGCTTGGCACCGTTTTTCGACTCATTAAAGCCAACTTCACGCAATTAGGCTAATAAGCCGCCCTCCCAACTGTGTTGCTGTGTTGCAACAACAAGAAAAGGGCCAACAGCAAGATTGGTAAGAGAATAAAAAGGGGAAGAAGGGAGGGGTAGGGATGAAATTACCCAAGCAGTCAAGTTTGTATAAAACACTTTCCCTGCTCCCATTTCACACTCTCGCTCAATTAACTGAAGCTAGTGACAGTTGATGTGTGAGGGGTCAAGGCTTAAACATATTGCGGAAATAGTGCAAGTAAGCCACTTTGAAATTACATAATCCGAAGACTCAATGGAAACTAATTACTTTTTCATGCAAAACTTGCATTAGATTTTATGTTAGCTTAAGACTCCTGGGATGAACCTATTCATATAAGAAAAACTTTGTTAAATAAATATAATAATATCAAGTAAATGGTTGGGATTCTTTATTTATTATTAAACTATCCTGGTGCCAAAAGATTTTTATTTTATAAATATAATATTTTTTTTAAATCCGAACAGGATAAAATATTAATGATTACTTTTATAAAAAATAATTCAAAATACTAATACCAATTACAATAATTACTTTATAAAATAAAATTTAAGGAGTTTTTTTTTAATGATTAAAGACCTATCATTCAAAAAAAATTACCAAGGAAGTAGATTGAAATTAGTCATGAAATAAATGTTTGTATTCTTGGTATAATTCTTCGAAAACAATGAAACTCCTTAGGCTGTATTTATTTTTCGAAAATTGTTTAATACTTTGTTTTTAGTGAAGATCAATATAAACCTCGAGCTGGAAAGAAATAAAAATCGAAATCATTTTTTTAACCATTTAATTCTGCGCAGTTGGTAGTTGCCTCCTTAGCAGCCATTCATTGTCATTTGAACAGTAAAAATTCAATAGTTGAGTTGTCCGCTGCACACGGAACACTAAACAATAAATTTGGACAAGCCATGGACATGGGGACAGGATAAGAGTAAGAACAAACACCGAAACGGACACAAAACAGAAGAAAAATGAAACGAAAAATGTGGAATCTAGCGACTTAGGTGCGGACGATCCAGATCCGGAGATCACTTGCTATCCGGACAGGCCATCTGGTATAGGAACTGTACGAGGGTGCGGGTGGGTCTGCCGGTCATCCGATCCTTGAGCAGATAGGGCAGCGGATTGTGGCGCGTCAGCATGCCCACATTCCGGATATCTATATGCGCCCAATCTGCACAGGGCACCAGTTCGTGCAGCACGGCGGCGGCAATGCAACTGGAGGCGGGGCCAATCCCCCGGTTGCTGATGTCGAAGGTGAGATTCGGGGTCACCAGCTGCTTGAAGTAGCGCCACAATGGCAAGCGCCAAATCCGATCTCCCGTGAGCCCGCCTGCCTTTTCGAACTGCTTGGCTATGAAATTGGAGTTGGTAAACATTCCGGCCGCAGATTCTCCAAGGCCAGCACACACGCCGTAACCCACGGTGGCCAGATCCACCACCAGACGCGGCTTATAGGTGGTCTGGGCAAAGAGCAGGGGATCAGCCATCACAACCGTTCCGGCCTTGCTCACATCCACGATACCCAGGGTCTTGCCATTCAGCAGGGTGACCACATCGCCCGGCTTAACTGCCATTCCGGAGGGCATGTTCTCGCAGAGCGGCAGTACGGCCGAGATGTTCACGGGCAGGGACAGAGCAGCTGCAGCCCGAATGGCGGCCACACAAACCGCTGCTCCGGCCATGCAGCCGCGGTACATGTGCAGACAATTCTTGGGCCGCAGGCACAATCCCCCACTGTTGTAGGTCAATCCCTTGCCTAAGAGCAATATGGGTCTGTCCTCTGGCGCTGTGCCGCAGTAGCTGACCTCCAGGACCACCGGCGGCTCACAGCTTCCCTTGGCCACCATCAAAAACGAGTTGAGGTTATTCGTCTCTATCCAATCCATGGAGCGCACCTCCACGGAAACGCCGCAAGGACATAGGGCATCCACCGCTGACTGGGCGAAAATGGTGGGAGTCATCTGATTAGCCGGCGCATCAGTTAATCTTCGGGCCAGGTTCTGCGATTCAGCCTTGAACAGACCTCTCGTCCAGGCATCCACATCCGGTGAGTCATAGAGATCCAGTTTGGGTACCAGAGTGCGATCCTGCTTGCGCTTGTTGCTGTTATAGCGCCAAATGGCCAGGGCACTGCCCTCCGCCGCCTGCTCCGGATACTCCATCGAGTCCACGAAGACCTCCGTGCAGCCCTGGAGCTGCAGGGCACGAGCTCCCACGCCGGCGGCCACGCGGGCATTCTCCATGCCCTCGTCGATGTTCTCCAGGTCATTGAAGCCGGCGCCCTCTTGACCCAGACCCACCACCGCCACAGCCCGGAATTCGGCATCCACGTTCATGAATACCTTGCCCTTGCCCAGCTCCCCTTTGATGCCCGTTTCGCGCAGCAGCTCCGATACCTTGCCCTGCGTTCGGTCGTCGAACTTCTCGCCGCTGGACGTCATCTTGGCCTCCTTTCCATCGCCCTCCTTCGAATACACGCCCACCACCACGCCCTTGATCACCGTCTTGCTGTCGCACTTATCCGCTATACTTGCCAATCCCCTCAGGACTTGGAAATGCTGCCTATGGCTCAACAGTGGTTCCCCGAACATATTGTACGTCTTCCAAGTGCCCTGGATCCCTCTGTACAAGCTGCGATTGCGGGTAAAAGCGTTGATCATGCGTGTGGAGGCCATCTTCGGTTTACACGGTCTCTGGTTTCCGGTTTAGTCCGCCCTTGCGCACGACAGATTAGCTTTTTAGTTGAGTGAGTATAGGAGAAGAGAAATAGATCAAATTTTTAACCACGTTGTTCCTAATAATTTTGGAAAGAAACTACAGTGTGTTCCGCCTTTAGATTGAAGGATAGACTAAGTAAAGACAATACCCAAAAGAGAAGACATTGTTTGGATCGCTCACTCCGTTTGACAGTTTTCCAACCAAAAGCATAATAAACATTCCTCTTAAAAATATACAGAGTAGATTTTTATAGTTCAATTATAGAAAATAGATCTCGTAACAGTTGTAAAACTTTCGACATACATATATTTACCCCAAAAAGAAGTGATATAAACATTTACTCCTCATCAGAGTCGCCTTGATTGGATGGCTTGAGGCTTCCAAAGACCTTGGCCGGAATCGCCTTTTGTTCGAAGCGCAGTTTCTTCATAACAAGACCTTCGTCGTCGGTTTTTGTGACTGCCTCGGTGGCCCCGTTCTCGTTCGCAGCCTCGTTCTCCTGCTCGTCGTCCTCCTCCTCATCTTCATCGCTGTCGCCAATGTCAATCTCGTCGGGATTGACAACCGTATCCTTCTTATCCTTGGCACCACCCTGGGTTTCACCGCGCACAAACATAATATTGGAAGCCGCCTTTTCGGTGGGCTTCTGTTTGGCCTCGGCGGCCGCCTGGCGAGCCTTCTCCTCCAGCAGACGCATAGCATCCGGTCCAGCTCCTGCTCCGGCATCCGCAGCCGATCCATTGTTCGTATTGAGGAACTGGGCGGCCATCATGTTCACTTGCGTGTTGTAAGTGGCCTGCACGGAGCGCTTGATGCGCAGCATTTCACGCATTGTGTCCTCGTTGCCGTGGCGTACCTCAAACTCCTTCCATGTCTGCCAAAAGTCTGCGGTAATGCGTGGGTCACAAACCTATAAGATAAGAATCCAAATTAGCATAAGAGGTTTCAGTATTATTTCTTAACCTACCTGTGAGCAATGGGCGTAGATTGCCCTTGCTCGATCCACCTCTCCCAATTTCGTTTCCAATTCCGCGAACTTGACGCACATGTGGCGCATATTCTGCTCGGGCAGGGATTCGATGGCCTTCTCGTAGATCTCCCGAGTACGTGGCAAGCCATAGATCTCAGCGGCCTTCTTCACGAATATATTGTACATGTCGAACATCTCCTCTTCCTTCACAGCAGACGTGGCGCGATCGTAAACAGACATGGCATGCCGCGCCAGACCGTGTTCCTCCTCCAACTTTGCGTACAGTAGATAAAAGTACTTTGCATGCTCTGGTGGACACTGATCCAAACACTGCTCGAAGAGATCCCTCGCTCGCTCCAGCTTGGTGCCCCCATATCGCTCCAAAAACTTGGTCAGGTAGGAATTCCAGATGTCGTACACATTGGGCCACTTAAATAGGGATATGCCCTTCTCATAGGCGCGATAGGCCTCCTCAAAGTAGTTGTGCTCTTCCAGGAACATCCCGTAGTTGATAATAATCTGCGGTGTGCAGATCTTTAGGTCGATAATCCGCTCGTAGACTGCCTTACAGGTCTTAAAGGTGCCGAATGACTCCTCCAGATCAGCGTACATGGACCACACTTTCAGGGAGCGATGGAGGCGTGCCTGCACTGTCTCCGTATCATCGTGATAGGCAATTTTGCGCTTTGGCATGGCCGTGGCCCGTTGCATCAACTTTAGAGCTGCCTCAAACTGCTGCTGGCGTAGCTCCATCTCCGCCCATTCGCACCACACCGCCGCCAGATCCTCTACTTTGACATATTCCACCTCAGTGCCGCGTTCGAAAACCACGCGTGCGTCCTCCACTTGTCCGTTGGCTTCGTAGAACTTGGCGAACTCCACCCAGAGGGTGTGCAACTTCCCAACAGCCTGCTTCGGTTGCACGGTTTGTACGGCCTCCGTATAAGTACTGATAATCTCAGCGGGCTTATCCTCGTAGAGCGTCACTCGTTTGTGCCACTCGTGCACGTTGTGCGGATTCTGACGCAGAAGGACGCTGTTCAGCAGCAGCAAACGGCGCTCCATTAGGTATTCAAAGCGCGAGAGGCGCAGCTCCACGTCGATGTCGTCCTCCTCGGTTGCCGTATCATCCCCAGCCACCTGCTCCATGCGCTTGTTCAGCGAGAGTTCCTCGAACTGGGCATACTCATCGAAGACCTGAGTGAAGTCTCTCACGGTGGTCACCGTTTGGATGGCCTCCTCGTAAATGTCCCTAGCCCGATCAAATAAGCCGGAGCGCACGTAGTAATCCGCCAGGGAGTTCCACAGGTGGCCCAGCTGATCCGTATAGCGACGCAGTCCACCTCGAATAATGGCGTCTACATTCAGAGAGTGCACCTTGTGTGGATTCTTCGAGATGAGGTCGCACAGTTCGTTCCACAGCTGATGATTGGACTTGCCGTGCTTGGAAACGAAGTGCTCGTTATCCACAATGTGCGCTAATTGCTGTGCAGCTTCGTCCAGGCGCTCCGCCTCCTGCAGATAATCCACATACTCCTCGGTGTCCTCGGGGAAGAGTTTCAAATATCGTCGGTACACGCGCAAGGCTGTTTCCGGCATTTCAAAGCGACGCACAAACTGCAGATAAAGTGGCCAAATCCTGCCGTGCTGTGTGATGGGAAGAGCCCTCAGAGCGCGGTCGAAAACGTGTCGGGTGCGGGTCACCTTGCATTGGGCGGTCATAAAAGCTCCATAGTCCATCCAGATGCGTGGCATTTTGTGCATAAAAACGAGGGCTCTTTCGAACGCACTGTTGACTTCCTCGTACATGGGATCCGTGGGTATCTTGCCGCGCACCTGCTTCCTGCGGGTTCTTAGGTAGTTGTGCCAGATCTTATAGCTACCCGGGAGCTCCTTTAAAGCACGCTCATAGACCAGATTCACACCATTATCTGGAGCCTTGGCCTTGTGGTCTATGTAGCGCAGCCAATGTTTTACGGAGTAGGCGTTCCGCAGGATTTCCTCCTCGTACGGAACATCCTCCTCTTCCTGCGAATACAAATATGATAACAGAGCTGTGTCTTAATGTGTAGTTTATTGTACTCACGAAATTGATCTCTATATTTAGCGCTTGACTTGTTTTTGTCACCATTTTTCGCGATTTTCACAGCAAGAAAAGCGGCAAACAATTTTTTCTCTCGTGCGCGTCCCACGACAACAGCTGTTCGGATAGGGCTGCCAGAAATGTTCAAAAGTAGTGCAATTAAAATACCAGAAAAATACCTTATTTATTTAGGTTGTGCTAGATGTAAGTAAAATAAGCTTACAAAAGATTATAAAAACTGTATTAATACCTTGGTCATATACATAATTTTAACATTTTTATGTTATTACTTATTTTAAATTTATTTGTAATTATTTAAATTGCAATCATTTTGAAGAAGATTTTTCTAGAATACCACAAAACTCCCGTTAGGCTGGTATTTTCCCCCCACGCGCTTTACAACACTGGCCTCAGTTCGTGAATTTTGTGGAAGCCCGTCTGCTGATGTTTTCGTCGCTGCGGCCGATAATTTGATTTTCATACCGTTTGCGTATTTCGCACAGTCCACTTACCGCGCTCGTAAAATCACAAAAAATCAACTCATACTGATCGTTTCAATAGTTTTCGTGAACACACTGTAATTGGACTGCATTTTGCATAATTTACGCAACGAAGGCAGCTGCGTGAGTGCACACACACACAGGCGCGCGAAAGAGAGCGAAAGAGAGTGAGGAGCGCAGGCGAGTTGGCAGCCAAAGGCGAAAAATCAAAGTCTGTCGAAAATCCACTATAAATAGCCCAAAATGACGCGCTTGAAACATTTCTCAGCATAGAATGAATATCAATCGACGAAAGATTAAAATAATACCCAACGACCGGGCCAAAGGAATCAAAGTGGTAAGTAAAAAATAAGAAAATACACGTCACACGCACTTGGTACTGGTGTGTGTTCGTGTGGGTGGGTGTCATAAATATTTTCGCACACACTTGTTCCTGCATTGATTTTTTTCGGACAGGTTCAAACTTGTGTGTGCCGCATTCCAATTGGTCCAGCCAAATCCAATTAGACCGGGCCCAAAGTAAAAACCACCCCGGAAAATCTTTTACTCTGCTTCTAAACAGCTGTTTCTGGCGGGCCACAGTAAATTTTCACGCACTCTTATTGTTTTGGGGAACATTTTTCGGCATTTAAAGGCCTCCCGATTTTATGTAAACAGAAGAAGCGGAAAACCGCTTAGAGATTCATTGCCGGTTTGGGCCCATTATTCTCTCTTTCTCTTTCACTCTCTTGGCTGTTGCCACCCACTAAACTGACACACTGAGCCACCCAAAACCAACAACAACACCGATTTTGTGCAGCTTTGAGCCGCATGCATGCAGCTTTTTTTACAGCCAACCAAAAAGCTTTCTTTGTCTTTGGCAGCAAGGAGTTTTCCGATTTTCGCATCCCGTTTGTAAAAATCTCAGTAAAAACATTGATTCCTTAAATCCTTATTTGTAATCCGTTATGCGTTTTTTCAAGTTCTATCTTTTTTTCTAGTAATCTAAAAGCATAAAAAGCTTATTACAGAGGGTTTAAATATTTACATATGTATTCTTGCAATAATACAAATTAGGAAAAAATTAATACTCCTAATTGACGCTGACAAATGTGTTAGATATTTGGTTGATTCTAAAAATGTTTTTAATATTATATAGTTTACCTCTTTAAAAAGTGGTCCTAAAAAAAGTCTGGTTTAAAGTTTAAATTCTATAAAAGTTATAAAGCTTTTATCCATATTCAAGATTTAATAAAAATGTAACATTTTAAATTCAATTTAAAATCCGAATAAGCTTCTGGGCACGGATTTATATCTTACAAATTAGTAAGATTGTAAACCACAATATCCCCTTAGCAACACATCGCACCTCAAACTATATATTCCACAAATACCCTGCCAAAGCTTCAGTTGGCCAAAACAGCTTTCCCGTTGCTTTATATCGCCGCATTTATTGATTCAATTCCTCTCTTTTATTCTTATTTCTACTTGCAGCCAAACCAACGCAACGACGCATAAACGCTAGTTAATAAAAGTGCAAAAAAAAATAATTAATTCCATTTCTTTTTTCCGCCATAAAAAGTGCTTTAAATCTGTCACCATGTCGCGTTCAAGTAGTTTGTTTTTTAATTTGTCTGCCAAGTTAGAGACTAAAAAACTTAATTGATCAGATCAAGAAAAGCAAAAGCAGCAGGCAGTAAAGAGTAAAATTACAAATAACCCAAACCCGTTTGTGAAGAATCGCGAAGTCTGTTCCAGAAAAGTGCAACACAACATTCCCACACAGTATATACATAAATAGCTATAGCAACCAGGGACTTGCCCCACGCCCACTACACCCACTTCGGTTAATCTCGCTTGGTAATTAAGGGTTAATCGCCTAATGGCAAGTTCGCTCAACAAGACGAGACACAGGCGCAGACTGGCTGCGATCTCGTTCCTATCGAATATCTCGTTAGATGGCACCCATCGGGACACCAAATTCGGCGCAACATTCGGCAGCAGCCTGCTCTGCAACCAGAATAAGAACCCATCCTCGCTGGGACTCGGCTCGGGGGGCTTTCATCCGCACTATCAGCAGCACCACCATCAGCGCAGCCACTCGGCGACGCACCACAATCATCAGAAGCGGCACCAACCGCACCAGCAAAATACCCAGCAGCAACAGCAGCAGAACCATCAGCAGCAGCAACATACCCAGCAGCAGCAGCAGAATGGTGTCCTCTGTTCACCGCTTCTCTGCAGCGCCGATGTCCACATGGGCATCGACGGCGGGATCGGACTGGAGGACTGCACCACTGGTGCCAGCGATGGGGACGGGCATTTTAGTGAAACTGAAAATATGGGTCAATACCTGATGAACGTCCTGCCGGCCGCCGATCACAATAGCAGCAGCGTTGTGCCGGCCGAGAGACGCAACATAAAGCGCCCGACCTCGTCGGGTCGTCAGAACCACCAGGTACCGGGCAGTGGCAATATGAGCATTAAGCTCCAGCAGCAGCAGCAGCAGCAAAAGCTGATGCAGCAACAGCGGCAGGCACGGAGTTACACCGCCGGCAGCGGAGGATCGGGTGCCGAGAGCGGCAGCGATTCGGACAGCGTCAAGATACCGCTCAAGGTGTCCAATCTGGGCAGCGGCGGTGGCGTCGCCGGTGGAGCGGGCAACAAGCTATTGCCCCTAAGGGAACGGTGAGTCATCTAGAAATTATCTAACCATTCGAAGTTTATGTCTTCTAAACTAATAATTTCCATATTAGGAATTTCTAGAAACAAAATTGCTTCCCATAACAAGTAATTGGTTAATTTGAAAGAGTTCTTTATTAGCCACAGGAAAACTATATTGCAAACTAGGCGTCAATAAGAAAATAATTTTCGCTTTGAAAAAACCAACCCAATTCAAATTAATACAAAGTGTGAAAAATAATTTACCCTTAAAAAGAATCTTCGGCCTTTATTCTTACAAAGCTAAATTCATTGCCAAATACTTAAGCAAATTTCTAAAACTGCGACCGATTCTTTCAACACACAGAATCCTCCTATTATGTACCTCTAAAAAGAAGATTTATAGGAATAGATTGACAACTGACGTCAAGTGGCCAGTTTTTCCTCATACGTTCTCCAACATTTCCTATATCTGCGAGGGATACTCTGTTAGTATTCGGTTGCTCTTTGTTGATATATAAATAATTTCTGGCTATGAAAAATGAATCATTTCGCTTGATCACTGAACTTTTGTTCAGTTCAATTAAGCTGTCGTCATAATTGGCATCGATTTTCTTTTGCCCCTCCTTCCTCGGGTTGTTAATTAAAATTTCCGCCTAAGTTGGCGTTAGCCAATTGACACTTGGTCTCTAATTTGCTTACAAAAGGCTCAGCTTGATCAAAATACCGCGAAAACAAAACAGTCAAACGTACACAATGATTCCCGCGGCAGCTGGCGTGCTGAAATCGAAAATTATTTATAAATTTTAATTTGTGAAATTTGAATATATTCAAGAGCATTTTCCCAATTGTGACGTATTTTCGCAGGGGGGATTTTGCACGTTTTCAACGCCTGATGGTGCATAATTGGGGGGCCTGTTGCTGGTCCACTCGGCGCTAAAAATACCCCTAAATATATGCAAATTTAGGTTGAGCTAGGGGTGGGGGTGAGAATCGGCTTTCATTCATTGACGTGTGCCGGCTCAATTAACGTAAATTAGAGAGCGTGCCCAGCAAAAAGCTGTACAAACAATTGTTTGAATTGAATTGCATGTTGAGAGGCGGCGGTGTTCGTTTAATTTGGAGCTTTTGTTAGTGGCGCGGTTTTGTCACGCATTTTAAACGACCTGTCAGCTGTGAATCATGGCTATTATCTAGGTTCGAGTAGAAGCACGCAATAATTATGCAATGCAAAAAAAATATGCGTGTGCCCAAGTGAGAATGCCAATGAATCGCTCGTAAATCGCTGGCGAATCGTTCGTAATCCTCCTTGAACTTCCTACCTCCACCCTCCCCTTCTGGGACTTTCTTTGTCTTTCTCTGGGCCAAGTCAAAATGCATCCCCGAGCTTTCACTTCCAATGCCAGAGACAAGTTTCGTTGAACTCGTCCGCTGCGCTTTAACAAACTGACCTTGTTTCTGCAGCTTTGCAGTCTTGCAGTCGCGCTCCGATGGCGTTTCGGTATTTCTGCCTAGCGTTTTCGGTTTCTTTCGCGTGGTGCCGCCACTCAACTGGTGGCTAACCCGTTTTCGGGGTCTGGGGACTTATTGTCATCGGTTTGGTCCCGGTTTTACATACTTAGGCACATGCCGTTGGCGCCAAGCCAATTGGCTTGTCAGCGACCTGTCATTGCCATTTGCTGGGGCAAATCATTTTCCCGGGGCTTTTGTTTTGGTTGGTTTTGGTAATCGCTAAGAAGATTCATGAAACCAAAGATGTTGATAAGATATCATATTTATAAATCATACCAAAAATAGGTTCTATTGTAAACCTTATCATCTTTGGCGGAGCTTTGCAATATTGTTTTATAATGCTCACATACCCCCTTAAAGCAAAAGTCATTTAAAATTTGCATCTATATATCTCTAATGGTTTGGGCTGTACCTTGACTATTAATCAGTCATCGGGTATATTTATTATCAACATACTCGAGACTATGAGCTAATGAAAATTAACATAACATACAGTGTGGAAATAAATTATTAACAAATTTGAAAAGAAAAATCCACAAAAACCCAAATTATTTTAGATTGTATATAAACATACAATTTTTGAAATAATTTCTTGCAAAAATATGTTGCACTCTAAGTTAAAATCGAAAATGTTCATACCATAGTATAAGGGTAACATGTATTTTGTTTAATTGTTTATGATCTTGTTCAACTAATTCCAAAAATGATCTTATTTCTCTTATCGTAAGGGAAATGACTAGTGATTAATTATATATGACAGTCAACTGATAAGATTAATTAGAAACCTTCTTGATATATAACGTATAGGCCATATCAAGAGATCTAGTATAGTCAAAAGGTTTATCTGCCATGTGGAATCGTAGCCTTCAAGATTATTAAGCAATCGATAAGAAATTCTATTGACGTTAAAGACAAGTTAAGGGTTTTTTATGTCAGGTGAAATAACAGTTTAATAACAGATACAAAAGTACATAGAACTTTCAGTAATTGCAATATCATTTCTGATAAAAACCTACGGATACCAATTCTTGTGACTCAGTTCATGAGTAAACAATAAAAAGAAAAGGGGAACTTAATGCCACATCACCAAGTAGTAATGTCTTTAAGAGCTTTCAAACTATTCCTAGCTTCTCCCACACATTGTTGCCTTCAGCTGAATAAAAACAAACATATTTTTTCTCTCAAGTGGATCCAAATGGATTTCTGTTTTTACCCACCAATCTAGGGTTACATTGTTATTTCCGTTCCGGTATGGGATAAAAATGTTGTTGATTGCAGAACATGTTGAATCTGCAAATTGTTGCAAGCAAAAATATGATGTTATTTGAAACGCTCGAATTCTTTTGGTGTGGGAATCTTGCCACAAAAAGCTGCGCAAGCGCAAAAAACAAACTGCGTCGCAATTCGAAAAACCAAAACAAACTACTTATGTCCAGTTTTTTTGTTTTGAAACCTGAGCTGCCCTTGTGGAGTTAGCCGATGAATGGGAATTGGAAGAGAGTAAAACAAAATAAGCTGAAACTTTGCCAAAAAACGTAAACAACTTTTTTTGCCAAGCGCAGAATTTTTTTTTTTTGTTCTCATTCTTCACTTCCTTTTCGAAGGTTGCGTCATGGCAATTTGGCTTGATTTAGGGGAGTGGTTTTACTCGAGGACCTCCAGCCGGCAAAGGCAAAGCTTGGCATTGAACTTGAGCTTTTGTGGCCTCATCCTGGCTCTCTTGTCCAATGTCAATGTCAATGTCGAGGCTGCAAACCTGTCCCAACCGAAAAACCTCCCCAACCCCTCTATTTCACTCTACCGAACTGGGTAACCTTGGGGCAGAGTTTTATGCAATCGACGACGTAATAAGAACCGGTTTCCCTCGTTCTTGTTCTTGTTTGTTTTCATTTTTTATCGCACTACTTGTGCGTATGAGGGGTTCTAATCCTTGAAGCCTGAGTAGAATGTGTTCAAGGACGCCTTTTCAAAGGGTTTCTCTATGCAGCAGGGTGAGAAAATGTGTGTCAGTGGTGCAAAAAGCTTGAATGCACAGCTAATGCAACTGGCAACTGCATTCAAGTTTACGCAATCCACCCCTATAACTCGTTTTTGTTCCAGCTTACACAGAAAACAATAGGTTGTTGTAAGCTTCATAAACTTTTTTTTTATTTTAAAAGTCTTTTAGCAGGAAAAACATTTTTTTTTAATTAAGGATATTATCTAACATTTTTAAATCGTATCTAATTTTTTTCTGTGCATCTGGAAGCTCTGAAAAGTCCACAAACACTGCCATAAAGCTCGCTGTCTGCCAAGAAATGAACGATAAGCCCAAAGATGACACAGACACGCCTAATCCATTTTGTAAATATATATTTATTGCAACGTCTTTGTTGACTGTATTGCACAGACCTACCCAAAACAAAGAGCCACGATAAAGCTCACAGTTCTTATCGGCTAAACTCAATGCTATAATAACTGCGACTTATATTTAAATCGACACATGATTAAACTCCACGTCACATTATTATGTTTTATCTGTTCGTTTCAGTGGCTTTCGCTTAGCTCGTTTATGACTTCCACTGTATTTGGCAGTAAAAGCGGTTAAAAGCGGATAAAATGAGTTCTCTCTTGCATGTTATTCAGTTATTTGCTGATTTCCACTCTTGCCAAAGTTGTTTTTTATACTCCCGACTTTAAAGTGACGTGTGTGGGCCATATAAAGCAAGGTAGTGGGATGCTTTAGCCGTGAAAAATCAAAAGCAGTAAGAATATTTTAATAATGCTATGCAATGGTTTTATTAAAATGATATAATTCTATTGTTTTACTATCAACAACCCAGCCCTATTTCTTTGTTTGTGCTTTTTATCGACAGCCTTCAATTGGACATGTAAATACACAAGTTTTTGCCTATTTGCTTTATGTAATTACTTTGGACTTGTGTAAACAGAAGTCGCTCGAGGTTTTTGCTCGTCCGAAAACGCTGGCGTTTTTCGGCATTCCATTTTGTGCTGATTGTTTGTTTACAGCGCGGTTATTCTTTTGTTACGCCTTCCTTCCCTAACACGATTATTGTTATTGTTTGGCGTACCGCTTTCCACTGCTTCGATTGGGTTTCATGTGATGTGTTTGCACCTTATCTAGAACACCATTTCATTTCGAACTCAACTTTTGTCCGAAGTGAGAGGAGCTAGATTGATTATGGTAAAAACAACTTGCGTCATTCCTCCAAAGCTTGCCAAAATAATGTCTTTAATCTTTCGGTTAATTGTTTTTTGAAAATAAGGATTTAATACATAACTGTTCTTATGAAATATTTGCTTTGTATGCCAAAAAACAGCCCGAAAAGTATTTGACATTATAAATTTTCTGATCTCGTTTCTTAAGCGATTTCCCAGCGTTTTGTACGCGTTTTTCCAGCGACTTCAGAGCGGTTTGCTAGCGTTTTTAAACAAACATGTTTTTAATTATTTACATATTTATTTTAAGTGTTTCATTTGGTTTTCCCTAGCTTTTCTGTTAAAAGCTTTTATCACAAGACCTGCAATTCAGCTTATAGGCACGTGATCTATGCAAACAGAAACTTATATAAAAAACTTACTTCCATTAACATCTGTTTGCTTCTAGCCAACTGATAACAGCAAAAACAACAAGCCAACGATGACAATAAAAATGCGATTGCTGATAAAAGCGAAATTGACTCAGTTGATTTGATTGCACTACACTCACAAAAAGAGTACTTTAAAAGCGGTGAAGGGGGAGACAAAGATAGCGCAATTAAAATATTTTATTTTTGATTTAGCTCTGTGCATGATTTATTTGCTTGCTCCCGTATGTAGATGTGAAAAGTATATTTACACAAGGCTTTAGTAGCAGTTTTCGGTCAATATTTGCAAATCAAAATCAAGGAGATAGACTGTAGACGAAAGGCATAGCTTACCGTGTACACAGCTGGGATATATATGATAAACATATATTTTGCTTGTTTCAGGAGTGCAAATTTGTTTAAATGATAAGAGATTTGGGAATTACACTTTAACCTATACAAATAACTTAAAAGTGAAATTTATTGGTTGTTGTTTTTCTCTTTAATAAAAAATTAGCTGTGTAGTATTTCACAGTAGGATTAACAGTATGGTAGATTTTTCCAGATCACTGTTATTACATAAGTCTGTTGTTTAACAGTATATTCGTTTATATAGTACCAAATTGTTTTCTATTATGTAAAAACTTGCCGCAGATCTTAATGTACCTGTAATTCAGAGGGTGATCTTTAATTAGAAGTGCACATGGGGATTCGGTAAAGCAATGCAAAAAAGTTTCACATCTAAAAATACTCCCAATACTTTGAAAATACTTCCCCGATTCCTCTGACAATTCAAAATATTCTGAATTGAATTTTCGAATTCATCAAATCTATTGTTAGAATTTAAATATTGTTTGCTTTGATCATAGGCGCGCAGCACTTCATAGATGGAGTTTCAAAACAACAAAAAAAGGAAAAAACTGAAAACCAAACTATAACACGCACACTTGCTTAATTGTTTGAGGTGCAGTGGTGGCCCATAGCTGCTCTCTCGCTCGCACACGCACTTTGCCCAATCTGTTATCAACTCACACAAAAACACACAAACTCATTAACGAGTCAATAAGTTAGACGAACCAAAAACACAAAAGCAAACGCACAAAAATAAATGTTTGCCCGGCCCTTTTCTTCCACAAACACACTCACACACACACACATTTTGGAGTCATCCATCCCCCCATCCTCCTCTTTTCTTCTACTTCTTCGTCTTCTTACATTTGTACGCATGTAAAATAAAATTCCAGCTTGTATTTCTGGGCGCCTGTTAAAATGCTCCAACTAATTAACGGGTTATGACAGCCTAGGCGCCATCTCCATCATAATATTTTTGGTACGGGGGCTCCATGGGGATGGGGACTTTGAATGGAAAAGCGAGCTGCTGCACTTCATCCAACTAATTAACGCAGAATCGTCACCTCGAAGAGTTTTAGGGGAGTTCGCCGGCCCCATCACGCTTTTCGACTGTGTAACCTCGACCTAGACCAATTATCCCAAGGTAATCTGCCAGGCGCTCAGATGCCGTCAAGACGTCGACTTCGGTTGGCTAATTGACTTTCGTTGCGGCTGCCCTTCGGCACTGCACATGTGTGCGTGCGAGTGTTTTCGAGCGTGCGACGCTGTGTTTGATTTCCAAAAATACACCAGCGATAAGCTGGTCGCTTTTGATCGCCCTTAAAACGCATAAAGGAAAATCTTTGTGCCTGAGAGTGTCTCTTCGCTTCTGCGGGCCTGTGAAAATATCGATCATTGCATGAGGGGTGTGACGATGGGCCCCCACGACGCGAGACTCTTCCAGCGATGCTTAGTTTTTTCAGAAAATTATCAAAATAGCTGATTTAGGCTATAAATAATAGCAAAGCAACAACGAACTAAAGCTAGAGATAAGCTTGATTATTATAAATAAAACTATTATTAATACAAAATAATATTAAGCACTGTTTTCAATAAAAAAAAATATATTTTACAAGACATTTTAAAAAACAACCTAATATAAGATTTAAATAAGAAAACAAAATAAGAACATATTATTAAGACATAGTTTTCGGAAAGTTTTTTAAAATAGAAAAACTGCATTATAGGTTTCAAATATAAAACACAATTTTATTTTAAATTGTATTAGTAGTCAAATTTGGAGTGCGAATAGCTAAACTACCAGCACTAGTCTCTTCGTTGGCATTTGTCATTGAATTTATAAATACCAAAAAAAAAACGTATTTTTAAACACCAACAACTTGGGGCGAAAAAAAACCGCCTTCAAGGTCCAGCCCAGCGCGTTTTTGTATCGCTTTGCGCGTTTTTCACGCTACACGTATTGTTGAGCGCCTGTTGCTCCTTAGATCACTACAATTCTAACCGATGTCTGTATCTCTTTATTGCTTCTGTTTGCAGCACCTTCAGCAATGGGGCAAGCGATCAGAATTTGCAGCCGGAGCGGAGGGCGCGGTTAAATACAGCGCCGGGGATGCGGGCTGGCTCCAATTCGAGCATTGCCATGGGAGGCGGTCTAAAACGCACCTATGTCTTGAGCGGATCGAGCGTTAGTCACATCACCGACGACAGCAGCACTGAGAGCCTGACTCCGGCTGGCAACTTTGCGGGCAGTTTCCGGAACAGCTTGAGCAAGTCGGTGCAGATCAGCGATAGCCGGCGAGGTACCGCCGGTCAGGCATTGGGACTTGGCCAGGGTCGCGACGAGCGGATGGTGCTGGTGTCGCGCAAGATTCCGTTCTTTATCTTTTCTTCACTGCCCTATTACAAGGGCAAGAATGGGAGGTGAGTAAAAAAACATGATAAATTAAAGATAAAAGATTTAACTCATAAAGCAATAAGTCGCTATACCTCCCCTCATTAAAATTTGAACATAGTAGGAAATCTAGTTTAAAGTAGAATAATTATTATTCTTTAATGCTTGAAACAAAAAATTAAAATGTTCATTTAAAAAAAATATAAAGTATATGTGTTAATGCTTAAAGAACAATCTATAAGTATTAACAAAATACCCACATGAAGAAAACAATTGTTGGTTAATGGTTTTAATTATTCATAAATTCCGTGTAAGTCTAGTTTAAAGGGAAAACTTTAGTTTAGTACAATGCACATCTGAATTAAAAAAAAAGTATGTTCTAAAAATATTCCTTTTCATTCACCTTTTCAGAGCTGAGTTCCGCAAGGAGGATCGACGTCGTCGGAATCCATCAACTTCACGACCGTTGAGTTCCATTAATGATGCACCCTTTGATCCGTTTGATTTGTTGGGCATACAGAAGGCCGAAAGTGGTCAGGTAAGGCGATACATTTACTTAAGTAAAGCTAAATTCAATAATAACAACCCCATTTTTTCGTAGGACATATCATATGGTCATCTGCTGATACCCTCACGTCAGTATGAAAAGGAACGGAAAAAGCATGGCAATGCATCGGCGAATCCTTCCATCTTCGAGAATCAAATGGAGATCACAGGCACAGCGGCACTTAAGAATCATGGCATTGCGAGGTTGGTGCCGGATTCCAGACTGCTACCATATTTGGATCTTCTTTCGTTTCATTTTTGTTTAAAACACATTCAATCAGCTCCATTTTGCCATGCCCATGTTCCATTCTAAACATCCATTAAGAGTCATTATGCATGGTTAGCCATACCGAACAGTTATTGTAATCTAATAAACCCTTTGTCCGAGCGAAAGGCAATTAACCAAGAAAGTAATATCATCGATATTGAAAAGATTTTGCAATAATTTACAATTCCGAGTCCGATTTCAAATAAAATCCAGTGTTTACATAAAGCTTCTTTGTTACCTTTTCAATTTTCTTTGTAATTGGAGACTCTTTGCTTTGGCTCGTGCTAGCAACAGCTTTAATTAATGCTGACCTAGCAAGACCTGTACATCTGACTCATGAAGTGTTGAGCGTGATATTACCCAACCAATAATTACAAATTAACAAGAACTCAGCACATTTTCTGCTTTTATATAACTCAGAAATCGTAAGACTCCATTTAATGCTTGATAGGCTATAATATTAAATTATTTATTTGTTTTGGTTCGGTAATAGTTGACCCAAAATTAAAAAAAAAACTTGAATACATTATGTGGCATTAACTTTTGCTAATTCATTTAACGCTTTGCACTACTTCGTTTCAGCACAAAAACCATAACCAAACGTCAAGGCAAATGGTAAATTTTAAAAACAGCTAATATGACAAAAAATTTACAGGCAACCTTGCTATGGAATTAGCTTTACCTAACTATTCCATAGCCTGGTTGACTGCCAAATGCTTTTAGTCCACTAACCAATTTCACCTCCCCCCACGTACACACGCCCAGCCACCCACTCTCACACACATCCAACGAACAAAGCTTCAACTAACCCAATCCTGCCTTCTCTCACGCTTTGCCTTAAGATACTTCTAATATGAAAGATACTAAAATTGTGTCATATAATTCGCAGGTGTTTCACGTACGAGAATAATAACCGGAACAGTGCAACAAGTCCGATTCCGGACTTAAAGTTGGATATGGATATAGAGAGCGTTATCCTGGGCGGAGATTCTACTCGTGGGCAACTTGTAAGTTTGGTTTGGTTTTGTTTTTACTAGAGAAGAGGTTATTGATTAAATTGGTTAATATTTGCAGAACCAACAGTACTCGGCCAGCATCTTGGACGATCCGGAATTGATTGCCGGTAAACATCGCACTTTGCTGACTTTTACCTCCTACATGACCTCGGTCATTGACTATGTGCGTCCGTCGGATCTGAAGAAGGAACTGAACGATAAGTTCCGCGAGAAGTTCCCCACCATCCAGCTCACGTTGAGCAAGCTGAGAAGGTAAGCTTAATGAACCAGTACTAAATTATTTAATAATGTAAACTGTTGTCGTTATTTTTAAGACACCTTATAAACAACTTAACTAATTTGTTTCCTTTTCTTTAACAGCATTAAGCGAGAAATGCGCAGGATTAATAAACTGGACTCGCGCATCGATTTGGTGACCATTTCGCAGGCGTACGTTTACTTCGAGAAGCTCATCCTGGCCAATCTGATCAACAAGAGCAACCGCAAGCTGTGCGCCGGCGCCTGTCTGCTGCTCAGCGCCAAGATGAACGACGTGAAGGGCGATGCCCTCAAGAGCCTGATCGAGAAGACGGAGAGCGTGTTCCGGCTGAATCGCAAAGAGCTGATCTCGTCGGAGTTTGCAGTTCTGGTGGCGCTGGAGTTCAGCCTGCATGTGAACCGGCACGAGGTCCTGCCGCACTATCAGCGGCTGCTCTACGAGTCCTAGGACTGGCCCAAGCGCTGCGCCGAGAAGAGTTTCTTGGCGGCAGCGCAGGCGGTACAGCAGCTGTGCCGCAAGGGCAGTCGCAAGTAGGCGTTCATACTTATAGCATACTTTCGGGTGTTGGGTTTTCAACGATCATAATAATATTGCCTAGGCTTAAGGCGTAGCTACTTAAGTTTTGCTAAAAGGTCACAAAAGAATGGAAAAAACTAAAAAAAAAAAAACTACATATACGAGTGTCTCCCAAACATCCCCCCTTTCCCGCGATTTTTAGACTCATAAGTGTTTATGTTTACATATATTTTCTTGGGTTTCTGTTATAGACATTTCAAAAATGAATAAACTAAAGTTAACCAAACGAACCTAATTTCATGCATTTGATAAGTTAAGCGCTTATCAACATTTATGGCGGTCGCTACTGTAGTTGTAATGTTAATTTTATTCAAATTTCCAGCGGCGACGATCTCTGCCTGTTGCCGTTTGCTGTTGGCCGCATAACCAAAGCTAGCTAATCCGCCCCGACATGCTCGAAGATCCCACGTACTGGCCCGTATATCCCACACCCTTAATACAATTCGATTGGAATCGAATCGCTTTACAGGGGTTTGATGGCCCATCAATCAGAAATCAATAAATAACTGACGATCGGTTATTTGCTAGAGCATCAGGCGCTCAGCGACCGGCAACAAGTGGCCGAAAAGAGTTCTCCACGAATAAATACGACCGGCGATAACCCAAAAAATACGGGCAACACACACGTGTTGGCAGGGGGTCGGATCTGCGGGAGGTGAACGTGCCTGCACATTGCCTTTTGTTCAATATGCTTGTTGTTTGTGTAGTGTCTGTTAACTCTTTTGTGATAAGCCATAATGTTTTTGTAGCTGAGTGCTTTTCGGGCGGCCAGAAAATGGGAAGAGGTGGCTGCTTTATGTAATGCGATGCAATCGCATTTAGCGTTTTGCCTTATCAGCAATATTGTATTCAATGGGGAGAGTTAGCACAGGGCGGTGGGTAATTAAGACTAGGAAATACACTCAGTATGTGTTTACACGCAATATTCCAAAATTAAACACAATACAATTTGACCCACTTAACTTTTTAAAAGATTATTTATAATAATATGTAAACAAAACAATTTTTGAGTTTTAAAACCATTATTTCATTAATATGATTGCGTGAGAATATTTTAAATGGAATTATTTAAGCCAAATGTTATTAAAGGATACATACATCGATTTTTTGAACCATTAAAATATTTATTTTATAGAAAGTAAAAGGAATTACATAATTTAGCACTTTTAAAGTTGTGTATTTAAGAACTATTTTATTGAGACCAATTTTATAATTCGCATATTTTAAGTAAATTAATCATTTTTTATTCTATTTTTCCATGCTTAGGGTGTTTTATCAAATATAACTTATTTATATTTTATAAGTGTATTCTAAATAAGGTTGGGTATTTATTATACTCGGATACGCAAAGAAAATTCTTTACATAAAAAATTCTTTTGAGATCCGTATAGGGCTTTGGATTTATATTTATATTCCAATGTCAGTGAGTCAGCATCTGCAATTTAAAGATACCATTAAAAAGTAATCAGCGAATGCGAAACATCTAATTAAAGCAAATTGTTTAGTCAGCTTAAAAGCTCATTAGCGTGATTGCGAGCTCGCAGCGAAAGATAGAATCGCAAACGGAGAATGACATGGATGCGGTGGACTATCCTGCCCCTGAATATAATATCCATCTGCTTCGTTCGCTTGCCTCATGTCGCTGCATAATGAAAGCGGTGAAAACTAATTAACGCGAAAGCTGAGGCGGAACAGTAGACATAAGCCACCCTCCCGATGACTCCCCCAATGCACCCCACCCACTCTGTCGCCCCTGCCATTCTCACATTCTCCCTTTTTGGCCAGCGCATGCTGCTCAATGGGTCTGTTCGCCTGACATTCAAGTCTGCCGCTTGTCTAGGCCACCGAAGGGGTGGGGGGCTTGTGGGTTCTAAACCCTCCCCCACGGCCAACAACAACAGAGCCAGTTTATTACTCATTAGCACGCACAACTGTCCAACTGCGGAAGCCAGCAGCAAAAAGCAAACGGGCCAAACAAGAGCTACAGAAACTTTGGCACCAACTTTAGCTCATTTATTAAGAACAAACATGCACTGGGGAAAACCATGGAAAATTAAATTTTTTTTTTATTTTATCCCAAATTAAAAAGCAAGGCTCTACGATCTTTTGTTTTGTATACATAGTTTTTAAATTAATAATTAAATAGACAACTTAACAAACAATTTCACATCCTAAACACAAAATATATAAAATTTTGGAATTTTTTTTTGACAGAATTTGGTGTCATTAAGTTTTCGTAGAAATTCAAAAATTAAACTGACTTATTTTTGAAAACATGGTATGGTCAATCGGTATGGCAGCGAAACTACTTATATCTGTTCAAGGCAACCCAAAAACAGTGTAATTAATAAATGAGCTAGTTTTCGCACAGTGTAGACACACACACACGCACGCACGTTTAATGAAACGTAACTTTTTCATTAAAGTTTCGCTTTCATTTATTAGACAATGTAGGTCTGGACCCCGCCGCCCCCTTTCGCCACTGGGCCACCCCTCGTCGATCTGGACTCTTATCTTTTGTGGCCAGGGTTCGTTAACAGTTGTTAGTTAGTTGCGTTAAGTCTGCCATCCGCAATCACCGATTGGAAAGTTCTTTCTGCTTTTCCGGCAGCAACTGAACCATCCCGTCCACGTAAGGTTTCCGACGACCCCCAGAATTGAACTGAGGGACTGGCTAAGCGACCAATATTCCATTTGCTGCTGCTGCTGCTGCTGTTGCTGCTGCTGCTGCGTTTCTTTTGCCGCTGCTGCTGCTGCTGCCGCCTGTCGACTGTCTGTGGTTTTCTGTGCGCCTGCTACTATGCGCCGAGTTAATTGGTTTGCAAACAAATTAACCAACGTGGGTGTGTACGTTTCCTAATTAGCAGCTTTTGTAATTAAATATGCCCGCAGCCATTCAGACCGAACTGTTAAGGGGTGGGGGGGCTTGGCCTATAACTATGCGTATGTGTGTGTACAATGGTATAACGGTTCATGAGACGCCCAGTGGCGCCACAAAAGGGGCTAATGAATGCGAATAATAGGACAGCCCCCTTTTGAACACGCCCCTGTCCAGAGGCAGGAAGGGGAAACAGCCGGAATGGGTGGTTTCGAGGGGGTTCTCTGACGTCCCAAATGAAAATGCATTTTAATTAGGGGTTTTTGTTGGGTTTTTGTTTCGAGTTGTTGTTGCCGCTGCTCGACTGCTTGCGGTTTCATTCATTAGTTGAATGGAGCCAGAGCAACTCGATAGGGTTGTCGAGCATGGCAAAAGGGATTACCAGCAAAGCCAATTAAAACTGATTTAATAAAAATATATATATTTCATAAACAAAATAAACTATTCGGGGTCACCACTGGGCTATTTATACCCTAAATGTATACTTTGTTTTGTTTCTTCGTTGTTGTTAGCAAAATTTTGTTTTTTTCTAAGTTTGTTTATTTTTTTTATCCTTTGGCCATATAATTTATTTATATTCAACACATATTTTTTTTCAAAAATAATTTTAAACTTACTCTTAAACTTTCAGTTTTATTCTAATTTTAATACCAAATGATTAAGCTCGTAAAAAAAATCAAAATTTACCTTTTGAGTATTGCAAATTTAGCTAAATTAAAAAAAAAGAAATCTTAAATTAAAAAAAATTAATGCACATCAAATTAAAAATAAAATTTTATTCCATATTCCGGTTTTGAATAATTTTTAGATTAAAAAAAAAAAAAAACAGATTGTGTTTGGAGATTATTTTTAAAATATATGTATATTTCCAAATTTTATATAATAGTTTTTATTCCTTTAAGCGAAGGCTCGACAACCCTGACGACCCCAGACGATAAGCAATCCAAATGGGACATTGAAAAAGTGAAAAAAAATCCGAGCCTGGTCAGTGAGCGAGGAGGTGGGACCGCAGAGCGAGGAAGGGGACTTTTGGGGGGCCTGTGGGGGCTAGTGTTTTCGGGTTTTAATTGGATGCATATATAGCGCCCACAAGTTTTGCGCTATTCATTATAAACGGCGTTGTTGTAGTTGCTTTCGTTGTTGTTCAATTGAATTGGAGCCTGGAAGCAAAGCAGCAGGAGAAAAAAGGGTCCAATTAAAAAGCCACAACAATTAACGAGCCAAGTGAGTTAACTTGGCATAAGTGGAATTTTAATTGGCAACACGAGAGCGAGATGGCCAACAAGCCAGGAGCCGAGTGACTTGCCGAGTGCCGATAAGTGTCGAGGCAATGGGAGTGGATGTGGGACTGGGAGTGGGACAGAAACAGGGAGTGGGAGTGCGAGAGCGAGCGGGACGGCAGGGGGCGAGCGAGCGAGAAGGCAAGCTCGTTATGGGTCTCCACAGTCCCGGAGTAGTTAAGTAAATGAGCATTTTGTTCCACTAATGAACACTAATGAATATGCCAGAGACAGCACTTGGATTAAGCCCGAATGGCAGTGAGTGTGTGCGAGTGTGTGTGCGGGGCCTTTTGTTGGTTCGGGGTTTTTGTGTTGTTAATTAATAAACACGAAGCCCGGGGGACCATGGTGTGTGTGTGTGTGTGTCTGGGTTTGCGCCCAGTTTTCAAGGGGTTAAAATAAGCAATTAGTTGGATTTTCGACTAGGCGCTCAGCAAATGTGCAGACGTCGAGGCCAGAAACAGAGGAGGCCATTCTGCTCTTCCATGCCAGCCGAAATGAGAAAGTTTCAAACTGTTGCCGCCGCTGCCGCTGCTGCTGCTGCTGCGGCTGCTTCTTCTAACGAGGCAGCGGCGCAGGAGTTGGCCAGGCCGCAGAAGGTACAGCCAGATGGCGGAGGGATACGGATGGGGGCGGAGGTAGAGGTGGAGGTGTAGTGGCGGTGGAGACTCCGGCGAGGCAGTCCAAGTCCAACCCGCAGGTAAGCCAGCCACGCATCCTACTGAAGTGAGCAGGAGACGATAGAGGTGCAGCAGCAACACAGAGAAAAAAGCCACAGTTCAAATTCTGAATTTCAGGAAAATTAGTCTCCTAATTTAAAGTTCAATTTAATAAACGTATTCTTGATTTTTATTCAATAATTGGCCATTCTCCTGGACCTTTCCTCTTTGCATAGATTCAAAAATATTCTCTGAAACTTGATCAGAGACCTACTTACCCCAGGATATCTGTTTAATGAGGAGTAACGCCTATCTCCGATCAATTCTAAGTAGTTTAGTTTAACCTTCTTGTGATGTTAATTAAAATTTGGAAGTTCTCCTTCTTGTTCTTTTTGACATTTTCAATCAATTTTAACTAAAAATAATTCCAAAAAAGATTTAAGTATTTATTCAACTAAGATGCATTATTATTTAAAATTATGATTAACTAATAAGTGTCAACAATGCCATCTGTAAAAAAATTTAATTTTTAAATTATTGAAATTTATTTGCCATTGCATAAAAAAAAAAAATAAATAAGTTTTGTGGCAAGTGCGCAGTAAAATAAACGCAAAGTTATTTTCGTGACCAATAAATTTTCTCGCTGTGTACTCCTCTATGTCGGAACAACTTCCACTGTTTGTCTGCGCAGAGCTTAATTGGGAAACGCTGATGGGACTAGCAATTAGCATGGACACGAACCCAGCCAGAAATGAATAATGGCCTAGAGATAGTCACACATTCGTTTCGCTATGTAAGGTAGGGTCGGGACTGGAGAAGATAAGAATCAGGAAAGATACACAAAAATAAACAAAAAAACAAAATAAAAAAAATAAGTATTTGAATCTTATCTGAGCTTAACGTTTGCATTACAAAAACTTTTCTTCAAACTAATTTGATCATTTCCCGTAATTGAAAAGACAACAAATCACCTTTAAAGGTTCATAAAAACAAAATGCAAATAAATTAAATGCTAATAAATGATGCCTTTTAAGGCCACAAACTGTTTTTCTTATAAAGGGAAAAAAATATCTCAATTATTTTGCACAACTTGTACACAGAAATAGATCGACAAGCTTCCAAAAATAAATAAGCAACAATAATGAGGCACTGACATGCACACATTCTAATTGTGAGCCACCTCCAGAACATGTCTTATTTGCTGCCGGGTCGAATGAATCACATTAATCCGCTGGCAATCAAGATATACCCTCGTATTTTACATAAGGCACCTATGACAGCTAGGCCACCATAACTCTGCGTCGGGGATTGGAGCTGCGCTCTGCCATTGAGCTGCCAGACTCGATGACTTTATATGGCCAAGCGCCAAGCGACGCGCCATTGTCTGCCACCGCTCGAAAGTGCGAACCTGTGGAGGAGGCGACCTGCGATGCACTGGGAAAAATTGTATCTAAGATAAAGAGTTTGATCATCATAATACAAATAAATCACTTTAATGGAATCGGGAGTACCAATGGAGATTTGCTTGCTTGTTAAATTAAGGAGCCATAATTATTATAACATTTTTTTTTAAATACAAAAAATATAAATACTATTAACAATACATGACTGCTCCGGTTATCACTTCCAAATGTGAATATTTAAATGTTAGTATTAAGTCGGTTAAAATGTACTTTTCCTACAAAAGTAATCAAGTAATTAGCGCATTTCTATAAGCTTTCAGATGCGAAATATTGACCAAAAGTTTTGCAGTGAAACAATCGAAAGTAAAAATCAGAATAGACCTGATAGTACAATTTCTTTGTGTACAATTTTATTTTCTTTTCCATTATAATTTCTATATCTTAAGCTTTGAAAACTTAATTTAAAACTTAATTACTATCTTAAATTTCTGCGACACATTGACAAAAAAAAAGGAAAGTAAAATCATCTGAAAAGAGTATTTGGTATAAATAGAATCAAAAGTGATGACAAGCCCACCTTATGCTTGTTTGATAGTTTTAGCTGAAGCTGTTTTCTCAGTGACTGAACCCGTTTGAAGCTGTCGGAAGAAACCGCGTTAAGACTCGCGCCCCTGACGTCAGCGATTCAAAATACTAGCAAACAAATCGCGGGGGTCGACTCGCCTCTCTGCGGCAAATAACAATCATTTACATGACAAGTTTTGCGCTCAAACGAGGTGAAATCATATTTTAGAATACGATCTGTTCGACAGCGTCTCAATCGTGTTTGCGAACGCGCAGTGAAAAGATCAATTGGTCGGAAAAATAAGCAAAGAAAAACCAGAGATGCCGCTGCGCAGGAAAGAGGACTACATACCCATCAAGTGCGAGGGCTGGAACGGAAAGTTCGAATATCCGGATGGGGCCGTTAACAATGTGTCCAAGATCCGTCGCCAGAACCAGAACGTGACCAACACCAACAACTTCTACGGATTCAGCACGGAGCCCATTGTCCTGCCCACCGAATGGGATGGGACCTTTGTGAAGAGCGGCGAGACGCGTATTAAACAGGAGCGCAATCGTTCCGATGACCAGGATTACTTCGACTTCGATACGGCACCCACTGTACTGCCGCCCACTTGGAGCGGCGAGTTCGTCACCGATCCCAACGATGTCCGCATCAAGCCGGAACGGAACTTCTCCGATGCCAGGGATTACGCGGAGGCCGCTCGCTTCAAGTTGGTCCAGCACTGAGTGAGACCCGATCCTCCCGTTTCAATCAAACTAATCCTGCAAATTTTGTGTTTGTTTTGGTTTCGCATTGTATCTATCCTAACCTAAGCGTTCGTTGTATTTTACTTTTTATGATATTTATTCGTATACTTAATAAACAATAGCAAAAAAATGAACTAAAATGCCAGAAAGTTCCGTTGTGCAATCGCCTTGGTTCGATTCGCGTGGGCGGTGTCGATATTGAGTGACCTTTTATGGAGAATAATTCGATCGGGTTTGCAAATCCAAGTCATAATTATAATATTTGTTGAGCGCAACAACAAAATCGGGATTGCCTTTTATGAGGTAAACAAGAAAACAGCGTTGAGATTACAAATCACTGCAATGCATTGGCAATTGATAATATTTGCACACAATACTATACACTAAGCTATGTGAATCCCTTTAGGTATTTTCATTGATTAAAAGGGGTAAAATCATTTTAAAAATTTTAAATATTTTTCTTGTAAGCCCATATGTAAATTGTTTTATGCAAATACAATTTTCTAAGGTAAACAAAATCACTTCCTGATCATACCTACAATCTAAAATATGTTTTTAAAAATGTTTCTACAATTTTGTTTAATTTGTGAAAGAGTTTTGTAAAAACGTTATCATATTTAAAGACTGACAGTTATTAATACATTTTTGTGAATTCCATTTTTCATAAAAAGTTTTCTTATTTACGAAGTTACCTTGTTTATAGCTTTGGGTTTGCGAAATTAATTATTTTTCAACCTTCCGTAAATATAAAAACCAAGATAAGAGGATATTCTAAGAAATTCCTGCAATTCGCAAGACAGCCAAACCTTGTGCAAGCAAAAATGGAGTTAAAAAATAAATGGTAGACAATAAAATGTGATTTTATAGCTGGCAAAGTAGAATTAATTATCAGGTCTCAGTCGGGAAAGTACAAATTGATAAGAAAGCGCGTAGAGAGTCTATATAAGCAGAGGCCCGGCAATTGTTCGATTCACAGTCAAGATGCAGAGCTTTTCAGTAGTAGCAATCAGTCTGGTTCTTTTGAGCTTGTCGGCCGTTCAGGCGAATAACGTCTCGGAATCCATGGATAACTACATCCTCCAGAACCAGCGGCAGTACGACGCCAAGCTTAAACTTTTGGAGGATCAGCTGGCCAACTTTAGGACCCTGTTTGCCAAGCGGATTGAGGCCCTCAATATGCAGGCAGATTCGATGCAGTTCAAACTGGAGGAGGCCGCCGCTCGCCTGGATCCCATCACTCTGATCGATCCCTGGAGCAAACAGTGTGTTCAGAACTATAGCGTCGCCATCCCAACGATCGCCAGCGCTCGATCCTCTATTATTAAGTGTGCGGAAAACCTCAATGGGGTTTTGAACTCACCCGAGAGTACCTACAACTCCCTTAATAGTTACTATAAAAATAATTTGAAGAACGCTTTGGCACAATGTGTGAGGCTCCATCCGAATGCCCACTTCAATTACACGCTCTGTGTGTCTAAGGTGGTGAGTAGAGAATGCTTAATTATTCCTAAAACCAAAGTTTTAAAACTACCTATTTAAATTATAGATTGGTGATGCCAATAAGTACACGGTGACCAGCCAGAATAACTTCAATACTTACCTCAAAAGTTCCGAGTGCACCGCCGAAAGTCGCATTCGAACTTCCTGGCAGTGCTCCTTTGGACAGGTGTACTCCATCACCTCCAGCGTGGAAGTTGCCCAGCGACTCGTGGAATTATGCCTCGTCAATCGAGAGGTTTGCGGATCTGTTGTCTGCTCCCAGCCCTCTTGTCCCAATGTCACGAACGTAACTCTGGCGGAGATCAATCCTCGCAAGGAAACCATCAACAACCCCTTCACATTTGTGACCAATGGTATGAACTGCCTGACGTTCAGGATTACTGGTTAAATTCGCAGACCGGTTAAATCATCATACACCGTTTAAAGCATAAGAGGGCTAATACTTATTGGTATTACAAAAAAAGTCATTATTTTTATTGGTGTGTTAAATTCCAATCTTTTTAAAACTATTATTGAGTAGCTACGGTTTTTTTAATTAAATGAATAGCTAAATAAATGTACATGAACATTATCACAAACAATGAGATGTTTTGTAGAAACAAAGCAATAAGTACATAAAAGCAAAACAAAAATTATTTTGCTTGCTATTTATATAGCGAATCGATGCGGGGAATGCCGAAACGCCAGCTGAAAAAACATTATCAATTTGTATACCCCAATTGTTTAGCAAGACAAGCAAATTTCGAGCACCACCTTGTCTATTCAACTTAAGTTGAATGCGGTGATTAGCTTTGCCATTAAGTTGGTGGTTGAAGATTATTATTGACCCCAGATGAAATTCACATGAGGGGTGTTCCAAAAATCTCTTCCAATATGAATATGAATATGATTCCGAATATGATTGTGTGAATATGATTCGATTCCAATTGAATTTTGTTAGAAGATATGATTCGCTGAGTTCCTTTCTCTTTTCAGTCAACTTATCCAACAGGAGCGCAGAAACATATAGAATATCTCCTACGAACCCACGCAAAATGAGATGACAAACCGGGTTTCAACCTTTTTCAGGTATCCGCACGAACCATCTCTGGAATGTAAAGCCACTCAAAGGGACCGCTTCCACATCCCAAATCTTAGAATTTATTCCCAGAATTGGGAATCACATAAAACCAGGGATCGTCGCTTTGTGTGTGGGTTTTCCTTTATAGCATTTTCTAATCCCGCATTCCATTATCTGGATGGCAGATGCGTGAGAACAAAGATCGGCACAGGCCAAAGAAAATCGAGGTTGGTGTTGCCCCCAAACCTTTGAAAGATCGCTTGACACGGGCTGACCGTGTGAAATATTGAAGATGCTTGGGAAACCTTTGAAAATTTGTAATAGGCTGGCAGAAAAATGTGTAAGTAGCCCCGGAAAATGTGTGGAAAATAGGCACGAGCAGGTAGTCAACACATGTCGGTTTCTGGGAAAATGCGTGAGAATCTTGGGTTTGTGATCCTTTTTCTGCTGGAAAATGTAGGATGCCGGGTGGGAAAATGTTCTCTGAGATTCAACTTCTTTGAATCGTGTGAAAATTTTCATTTATTTTTCTAATATGTTAAAAATTTGAACAGGAGTTCAGAAAATAAGACTGGATGCTCCAGGAAAACCTGGAATCTTTGAAGAAAAGCAGGTAGGACCTGCTCCGTGAGAAGCAAGGATATACTCCTTTATCCTTATTCTTCTGACGATCATGTGACTTTTTCTAATTTATAGAAAGCCTGAAAGAATCATGGACTAGGCGCACATCAATTTTAGTAGCTAATATAGAAGACAGTCTCACAATTCTACCTGCCGGCTGCTTTGTAAGGTGCAGCTGAAATATTTTTCAAAGAAAAGACCTCCCACATAAAAAAGAATCTTAAAAAAAGATGCCCTAAGAATGTGATGTTGCAGCTGGAGCAGCTGTGGGAAAATGCATTCCCAAAAATCTGTCACGATCGTGTGAATTTTCCAAAATAATTCTGGCAATGGAAAACTCTAGTACCAGGCTAACAGCAAAAACTATAAGAAGTCCAATGAGTTTTCCCAAAATAGTCTCTACCTGCTATTAGGGTCTGGAAAATGAAGCGGAAAATGCGGCACGGTACAAAAGATGCATCTGTTTTCCAGGAAACCTGTTGATTGCAAAGGAAAACCTCCTTTTTTGTTTAAAAAACGGTCCTTTCACAAAGCATCTATTGAGATCTATTGAATTGCAGCCGCAGCAGCTGTGGGAAAGTTTCCATCTGTCCTGGATCCTTAAACCATTTTCCGACCGTGTGAATTTTCCAAACCAGATGTTGGTAATGTAAACATTAGCACCAGGCAAACAGCATAAATCGTAGCACGAGTCACTGAGTTTTTCCGGACAGAGATTCATTTTATACCTGCTGCCAATGGATCCTGGGAACGAGCAGCTGGTCCGAATCCCACGACAAACGACTCTTCCTGCAAACCTGTTGCACGGAAAAGAAAATAAATGCATTTTAATAGCATTCTTCTTCAGTCGTAGCAGATGTGGGAAAATGCATTTGCCGATCGTGTGAAAATTACAGCTTAATCAAGAAAAATCAATACTCGTGAACCAGGCGAACATTATAAACAGCAGCTCGCTCTAAAGAATTTTCCGAAGCGGTTGCTACCTGGACTCAAGTCCTGGGAAAATGCAGATGGCTCCGAGCACACGATAATGCTCTTCCTGCAACCTGTTGCATGGGAAAAGAAATTAAATGCATTTTTTAATGCCTTCCCAGGCAGTTGGAAAAATCATCTAACGATCGTGTGAAAATTACAACTTAATCAAGAAAAACCAATACTCATTTACCAGGCGAGCATAATAAACAGAAGTCCTCTGTAAATAATTTTCCCAAGAGGACGTTACCAAGGGTCACACGATAATTCTCATCCTGCAACCTGTTGCATGGGAAAAATTAATGCATTTTTAAAAACTTCCTAGGCAGCTTGAAAAATAATCTGCCGATCGTGTGAAAATAACAGTTTAATTGGGGAAAATCGATGTTCATGCACCAGGTGATCATCATAAACAGTAGCACACTCTAAAGAGTTTTCCCAAAGGAATGCTACCTGATCTCGAGTCCTGGGAAAATGCAGATGGCTCCGAGCACACGATAATATTCATCCTGCAACCTGTTGCCTGGGAAAATGAAATGAATGCATTTCCCAAATACAAATTCCAGGGAGTTGAAGAAACCATCTGTCGATCGTGTGAAAATTACAACATAATCAAGAAAAATCAATACTCATGTACCAGGGGAACATCATGAACAGGAGCCAACTTTAAATAATTTTCCCAAGTGGATGTTACCAATTCTCGAATCCTGGGAAAATTCAGTTGGCTCCGCGCACACGGTGCTACTCATCCTGCAACCTGTTGACTGGGAAAATAAAATGAATGCATTTTTCAAAAACAAATTTCAGGGAGTTGAAAAAACCATCTGCCGATCGTGTGAAAATTACAATTTAATTGGGGAAAATCGATATTCATGCACCAGGCGACCAGCATAAACAGTAGCAAACTCTAAATAGTTTTCCCAAAGGAATGTTACCTGATCTCGAGTCCTGGGAAAATGCAGATGGTTCAGAGCACACGGTGATTCTCTTCCTGTGATCTGTTCCATGGGAAAATAAAATAATTGCATTTTTTAATTTCCCACATTTCTGTGGGAAAAACGAGAGGCGATCGTGTGAAAATGAAAACTAACCAAGAAAAATCAATACTCTTGGATCAGGCGATCATAAAAAAAAGTCGTGTAAATATAAGTTTTGCGGGAAAAAAGTTTTTTGTAGAGAATTTTCTTTATTTTAGAGGTAAATTAGAAAAGTTTGTCTTAATACTCTCTGCAAATAAAGTAAATATCAAATTTCATGCGTTAATAACAAAAAATGTAACGATATTGTAATTAATAATACAATAAAATATTGTAATAAACAACTATTGAATTTGGGAAAACTGCGATATTACACCTCTTTCTCAGACATAATGGAACATGATAGTAACCTGTTGATTCTAACCTTAATTATGTTCACAGCGTGTGAAAAATCTCGGTAAAAATCCTACCAGGATAACAGAAACGATTTATCTTATGCCACACGAAGTTTTTGAAAATTCTACCTGAATAAAAAATTTTACTAGCAAAAAACTATTAAAAAAGGACCTAAGGGAACATGGGTCTCAATTTTTATTGGAAAATGAACAAAGATGTGTCGTCTTGGGAATTAACCTCAAGTGGTGGATAAACAGCAGCATAATCCGAATCCCAATCAAGATCCCAGCTGCTCTGCATTTGCCATGGACAAATCACATACAGGATCATCACTATGTTTAGAAAAACGGCAACCGGAAATTACCTTTGCTAACACTTAAAAAACATTTTCTCAAACAGGAAATGGAAACTATGCGGCATGAAGTCCCAAATATTCTACCTGAATAAGAAAAGAGCAACAAGTATAAAACTATTAAAAAAGGGACATGGGAAAATCTTCGAAAACACAATTTCCATGGGAAAAATCAACAAGGATTAGTTGTCGTGGGAAAGAGCCACAAGTGGTGGTTGAAATTTGAAATTATCTAACAGGATAACAGAAAAACTGATAAGTACCCCGACACGCTTTCCAATTCTAAACACTAAATATTGCATGAATACAAGTGCATCGCATATGCCATGAAAAGATCCCCAGCAGGATAACGGAAGTAACAGCATATCCCTAGGAAACGCCTATTAGCAACCGGAAATATATTTTGTTACCTCTTGAAAAAAGTATGCTTATATAGAATTTTGTAACTCAAATAAACGACTGCAAAGAACAATACAAAAGTTCTTTGGAAAGCACGTTCTATAGTGGCTACATTTTCACGGGAAGATTAGTTGTCGTGGGAAGCAGGCTCAAATGGTGGTTAAAACTGGGAACTATCTAACAGGCTTACATAAAAACTGGCAAGTGTCCGCAGTGCTTAGCCCTAATTATTGCCAAAAACTCAACCCCATGGCATATGCCAACACCAAAGAGCACCTGCCGGATTACGGAAGCAGCATCAATTCCTCCGGAAGCTGTTATTAACAACCGGAAATGGTTTTTGTTACCACTTGAAAATACATTTCCTCAAACAGGAAATCGATTTCTAATCTAAGCGTTTTCATTTCCTGTCCCAGCTTCCGTTTCTTTAAAAAATAAACAATGACTCTTCACCAAATGTTTTTTGGGATCGTTTTTTATGTTTACTTTTTCCTGGAACTCCACATGCCACATGCTGAGATTTTTTGGGCTAGGCGTGAGAACGAATTTGGCTTAATTAGGCAGTTTCTACTAGGCACTCAGCATCCTGAAGGCAATGAACTGATTTCAACATTCCGGGGTCACATGACACGCGAAACCTTAGGATATCTTTGATCTTTTTATGGATTCCTTTGAGTTTCTTTTGCCCTTTTATTTTCAAGTGTCTGAAGGCGTGAGAATGCGGGCTATATATGGAATACTAATTAGTTTTTGGTATCAGGCAAGCAGCGGCCACAGATGGGTAAAATACTTCCAGGGAGTCCT